CTGAACAGAAAATATATAATAAATGTGAAAAATTTATGTTAGAATTAATGAATTTTCAGAGATAGTAACAGCTTGCAAATAAATAGGATGTCATTTTTATTCAACAGAAACATCTCTCTGTTTTGACACAAGATGAATAATTTATGTTAGCAGAAGTCAAATTTGGTTTTATTTTAATTTAGACATTGCAATAGATTTTAATAAAGATAGAATTTCTATCTTATAATCCAAAATAAGAAATAATCGCATTTATTATAATGTCCTAATTTTGACAAAATATTATTAGAATGTAGTGCTCAATGCAAATCATTAATTATTTTGAATTGTGAAAAATTATTAATTTCAGCGAAAAAGATATTAAAATTAAAATTATTTTACAATATTTGTGGGCGATAGTATAAGAAAATAATATTTTGCATATTTTCTTGACATAATTTCTAATTAGAATAGTACTGTCTTTGATGCTGTGAAAATTCGCGCAGAATATAATTTTCACATTTTACGTCGGAGGAGTATCACCATTCATCGGAGGAATATTACAAGGTCGAAAAAATCAAATGACATTTTTATCACGAGTCACATTCTTATCACGAAGCAATTTTGAGCCACTCGTGAGAAAGAGAATTAATTTCGCACTTGCGATTAACCTGTTTTTTTTTCATTACTGCTGTCGACAGTTTAATGCGTTTTTTGCACGTTCCATTCTCAGGTTCCCGATGCTAATGGAAGAAAAGAAAGGTGCAGGAAAAGCTCGCCAGAGGTTGTGTACGAATCGATCGAAGATTCCAGTGAAGTCTCTCTTGGCGTCGAGTGAAACGAAAGAAAATTATTTCTTTCGACGTTCTTTCTCTCTGTCATCCGTGCATATCTTTTTTTTTCTTATGAAGCGACATAATGATATTATCTTGTTCAGTAGGTTCCGGAAAATTATATGCGATTTTTCAGAAAACTTTTCGCAAAGACGAAAATGAAGAGATTCAATGAAAATATATCAGAATAACTAAACCATATAGGCACACGGTAAAAAAATATTGTGTTGGAATTTATATTGGAAACGGCCCAGTCACATTCTTATTAACTGTTTGTGTTGAATTTTTTTACATTTTTGAGCATTAATTTAACATTATGTGATTATATAATTTAAATATTTTGTCTTAAATTGATATTTAACGTTTCTTAGTGTTAAAGTGATACAATTTATGAGTGAAAAAGAAACATAAAAATATGTGCTTTAAAACGCAAATTCTAAGACAAACAGATAAAATACGTTATTTTATACATATGATAAATATTAATTATACTGAAAAAAATATACTTACAGTTTTTTTATAAACTGTGTCGGCATTATGTTTTTGTAATCAATTTTTTTGCACAATACCTATATTTTCTAACATATTCATCTTATGTTAAATGAACACAAAAATTTGAGTAGACCATTTGGAATGTGTGAAATGTGTTGTATCGGACACAAATATTTATTTATTCTATATCTTTGTAACTAATCAATGAATTGTAATGAAACTTTTTTTGCATAAGTTATTTTGAATATTGAAAGTACTTATGAAAAAATTTAGATTTTTATTATGGTTTTTGAAATTTTGGTTTAACAATTTTAGTATAACAATAAAAATAACAAATAAAATTAATGAACTATAAAAATGTATTGTTCAATAAAAACGGAATGTTTTGAACAAAACTTTCACATATATATAGTTTGCTTAAAGTACCAAATATTAATACAGTTGTAAAAGTGTCACACATACATCCTTCGCGTAGGCATTACTGAGAACATTTTACCAAGAAACCTTGCGTTTAATTAAAAGCTCTTTTTAATTGCGCGAAACTGTAAGATTCAAGTCTGATAAATGAGGGCGTTTGAGAATTAATATGAAAAAAAGTGTGGATGTAAGTACATTTAAACAGAACAAATAATATGCTGCATTTATTGCATAAATTATATTTTTATAATTTAGTGCGTCATAATTACTTTTATAAAAAAAAGATAAACATTTCCCCTGTACTTTATGTAATAAATATAATGTAAATTTATTTGTAGAATTTTATTCGTAGACAAGATTGTAAAAAGAATTTTTATGCAAGACTTTATGTATTCTTGTAAGTTTTGTTACACTGAGAATGGTTCTGAAAAATATTACAATTACAAAAATTAAACATTACAAATACTAAATATTAACAAATATTAAATATTACAATTTTAATTTTATGCACATACACTATGCCTGACTGATTGCGCCGTTACTTACTGGTAAATTTATTTCTTTAATTTTGTGTCCAGGAAAATATGTTACTATCAAGTGATGCGTGTAATGCAAATCATTGTTAGTGTAAAAACGTCGTCGGCGTAATTTATAGTGTACCTGGTTCGCTCATGATTGCGAATTTTGCACGAGACAGGCACGTCGGGAACAATGAGCGTACATGAGATTGATGTAAGCTCGTATATACGTACATTGCAGGAAAACGCATTTACTTAGACAAGGGTAACAAAGACAGAGGTAGGTACGAATGTGGGCAGTCGGCCAGAGAAACATCTAGCTCTTTGAGATTCTTCCGCTCGCGAGGGCAATGACTTATTCGACGACGTCGTGAACGTGATATACATGTACATACGTGTATATACGTTGTGCAAAAACGGACATATTCACGTGCGCACACGATATGTGCAAAGCATACGAATTTTAATTGCTCTCATGAAAAATGCGAAGCTATTGCAATCCGCAGCATATCTTTCTTCATTCTTATGTGGCATGCATTTGTGGCAAGGTCGACATATCTTTTTTTCTACGGTGAGCTAGCTTTATTGGATTCACGAACACGTTGTGGTCGCTAAACCACAAAACAGATCGCAACTAAATAAAATGATGATTTAATTAATATAGTGTGAATGTGTGTGTGGTATTCAAAATTTTCGCGGTGATAAAATATTATCCATAACTTTTATATATGACTACTCGTTATGTATAAATTACTCAATTTAAATAATGTATAAAATAATTTCAGTGAACAATAATTCAAAAATATATCATAAAGGGCTGACTGAGCTTAACTAGTTAACATGTGCTACTTTAAATAATCATATAATTCAAATAATAAACAATACAAATGTTTCAACCTTTAATATCGATGATCTTCAGTGAAATTATATAATTTAAAATAAAATTGGATCAGTTTTACATACTATTCTTCTTAACAATTTAAATCGATTAATTATCCTTCGTTTGTTCTTTATAATTTGCATTAAATTACTTAAATTCCAACAATACGTGTATGTGTACAAATATCTTTATAATCTAAATACATTAATGTATTGATTATTTTCAATTAGGTATAAGTTTGTATTTTATATAAAAGTTTGCATTTTAAAAGTATAATAGAAGGTCTGTTTTTTATTTCTGTACTAGTTGTACTAGAACTCTCTTTTTCGTTTTCGTCAAATATATATCTATTTCATTTCTTAAGTTCCAAAAGTGTATATTAGTTTAGTCATAAAAAATAGACCTATAATATTTAAGAAATTGCACAGAGAAACAGTTGCGAATCAGAATTCTGAAGTATCATTATAAATATTGCGAGTCTATCGAGAAACTTGGCAGAGCTCGCACGAGTGGCACGAGTTCGTTTAATTAATTAATCGACGTATCGAATGATTCATTGTAAAATATTACAAAACAATGAACGCAATCACAAATTACGGCATGAGTGAAACTTGTTGCCGTGCTGCATGTGCCGATTATGAATGATTTACACGACAATGACATGCTGCACTCCGTCCTATGATAACATTAATTGATACGACATCTCGCAAATACGTATATTGTGATAATAGACCAATTACCGCAAAAGTTTCGGAGTCTACACGATGCTCGTGAAATCAGCATAAAGGTGGCTCCCCCTTTGTGTTGCATTTTTAGCCAATCGATAATAAGATTCCGCAACAGTGTCGTTACTGCAGAATGAATTGCCGCTATTTTAGTTTAACTAATTCGACTAAAGGAGCTGAATAATCAAAAAAACTCAGTGACGAAAAATTCTTAGTGACATCACGAAAGTGAGAGAGAATCTTAATCTGTATCTTAGTTGTGAGCAAAATATATTTAATTATTATTTTCGTAAAATATGAATTTGATAGGCAACATAAATTTTTGCAAAAATAGTAATTCGTTGCTCTCATAAAAAAGTCTCTATTACGTCAAAAGTTTTTCATTATGATCCATTTTCAGCTGATGTTGTATGCATTTTATTTATATATATAATCTTTTTAAGTTTTTTTCTATCTTCCTTTTAAAGGGAATGTCATTCACAATTTAACTACCCTGATAATGAATTATCTTCTAAAAATATTGCACTTTTTTTCCTAAAAAATAAAATAAGTTTCTAACTAAAATTTAGAATACACGGGGTCTTATTCTCAAAAAAATATAGATCCAGAAACATCCTGTATTACGTAATTTTCTCGATTTATTTATTTTGAGGAACTAAAAGATTCCCGTTTAGAAGACTAACCCATTTTCAACGTACACTACACAAATGCGTGCTTATATATGGTAATCTTCTTGACCGCAAACCTAGCTAGAGATAATTAGGTCAAACACATGTATTAAAATATTCTGCAATTTACGCAATCTCGTGATCACAAAAGAATTAACATCGGGCACACCAGGTCGCGTTCCGCGACCTGATTTCGAGAGAACGGCCTTCGCGCAAGGACGCGCGTGACGTGACAGTCGCAACGATCTCGGTCAGGATGTTCCACACATTTCCGTGGCTTTCTAAGAACATCTCTTCATGTTTTAATCTTAAACGGGACTGAGGCTATTATAAGCATCCCGTACAGTATTCGTGCGGGACCAACGGAATCCGATAATCGAATCCTATGCTGACGCGATCACACACGCACACGAAGACACGGTATACGCGCTCGCAAGGCTAAACCGAACATCGCGAATCGACCGGTCCACAAAAGAGAATTCTCGACTGACCTGATTCTCCGAGTTGAGCAGCTTAAGTTGTTCGTTGATGAGACTGTACTTGGTGCTCTCCTCTTTGCGCAACGCCCGTTCCTTCTTCAGTTCCGGACTCCAAAAGGTCTTGATACTGTGCATCGAGCTGCCCAATTTTTGATTCGTCAACTCGAGTTCCTTCTTCAGGTTACCGAGCTCTCGTTGCAGATCGTTATTCTGATGCTGGAGCTCGCCGATGTAGCCGCCGCCGTCGCGCAGCATGTGCGGATTCGGGCTCTGACGCGCTGACCTGGAGCCATATAACTCGTCTTCCAGATAGAGTCCGCGATCGCGGCTACGTTCGCGGCTCGGCTCGCGTATCGGCACGAATTCTCGATCATGATCGAGAACGCCAGCGGAGGCACGATCGAGGCTAGTGTAACGCGCTACCATGCCCGCCGAGCTGGACATGGCGGGTCTCGAGGCGCTTCTGGATCGGTGATGTCCGCCCCCACCGCCCCCGGTCGACATACTCCTACCCCTCTCCTCGAGCATCACGGGACTGCCGAGGTCCTCGTCGCGGGAGTAGTACGGGCTGCCCAGCTGATGGTGATGGTAGCCTCCGCCGTAGCCTAAGTGCTCCGGCGAATTGTTGCCACTACGAGTTCCCCGTTTACGACCACCGAGCGGACTTCCACGACCGCTGGCATAACTTCGCGACGGACTGCGATCAACGGTTGGCAGTTCGCCCACGCGACGACCGCTGCGTGGCGAACGTGTGCCACCACCTGGACCGATCACGCCACTGCTCGAGTAAAGATCCCGTGACATTCTACGGGAAACCTCGGCGTATAGCCGTACCTCGTCCTCCTCCTCGTAAGCGCGATAGATCGTCTCGAATCAGTGTTATCGTCTCGTCAGCGTTTCGTCGATATTCCGTCGGTGTTCGTTGTTCCCTCTTTTACGATCGCCCGATTCTTTCGCTTTCACAATCGTTTTGTATAATAATCCACACGTCTTTCTCTTTTTCGACCTTAGTGATTCAGCGATCCGTGTCCTTGTTTCCCAATTTCCTCGGCAATGCTAGTTTTCCAATTTCCGAAGAGAATGCTGTATAATCCAGACCCTCAAAAGTAGTTGTCGCTTTGTCACGCCTTGCGATCGTTCCCCAGTCCCTCGTCACCCTCGTGCGTCTTCACGCTCATATCAGCCTCATTATCCACATGGATGATTCGATCAACGAGCGTTTTCCCGTCCAATCGCAGCGGGACGTCCGTCCGATCTATCCGAGCTTTCAGTTAGGGTAACAGTTGAATGATGAAGGTGTGATGCTTCGTGCGCCGGAATTTTGACGATCGCCTTTCTTTGGGCGATTCGATCTTCTCTTCGTTCCCGACTTTGTGCTCCAGCATCCGGCTATGGCCGACGACGACGACGACGTCGACGATATATTTCCAATCTCTTTGCGCTTTCGCGATCTTTTACGCCAAATTGCGGACACGATAACGACGTGTCCTGGGATGCGCGTGGACGTTTCTACTCTACGTGTGATGGCGCGTTCGCGAACGTGCATTGACGAGGAGATTGATCGTTTCGATCCCCGTTCTTTCTACGGTTACCACATATCGTGGATCTCAATGGAGGTCGGTTCGGTTCCTTTTCTGCCGGTCGATCAACCTCATCCTCGTATCGCGACGATGATCCTCCGCCCGATCGATCCTCTCTCCACCTATTGCCACACCACCACCACCGCCACCCTCGCCTCCTCACCGAATACAACTCTTCTGGCCGGCGTACTACTACTAGTGGATAGTACTACTACGCGCGTGGGTCACTTCGTACTCGGCGGCGGCGTACGGCGAGGTCACGACCCTCGTCGGCCCAAGAATCGATCTTTGACCTTCTTTCGACGGCGTAGCCCATCGAGCGAGGGCGAGTAGAGATCGAGGGGGAGAGAGAGAGAAAAAGTGGTGATCGACTCCCTCCTCTTCCACTTTTCTATCTTTCTGAACCGACAAGACGCGAATGAACGAACGAACGAACGAATTCTCTCGTGTACTCTCTCTCGCGTTCCCTCTTCCGGTCTCTCTCGCTCTCTCTCCCTCGGCCTCCGGTTGCGGCACTCCGGATCCAAGAACCGCCCTTTCGCGAGCCAGCCAAGTCGACGAACCGAGCCGGCCGCGTTCCCTTCCTCGCGAACCTCGTTCCACCCTCGTGTGTCGGCGGCTTGCTCGCTCACACGCGCGTATTCGCGCCTGCGTACGTACGTATGCGCGCGTACTACACGCGTATGTCTCGCTTCCGTCGTGTGCGCTTGTCGTCGGCGCACTACACACACATACACACACACATGCACTCGCAATCTCGGGTGGAGGAGAAAGAGAAGAGAGGAGGAAATATATATGTCTCCCTCTCTCTCTACGCGTCGCGCACCGCCGTTCCCGTTTCGCGAAACCAGCGCCTAAGGTTCCTCCTTATCGATCTCATTCTCTTGCCTCCCGTCTCTCTCTCTCTCTTTCTCTTCCTTTTCCTCCCTTTTTGCGGTCCCGTCGTCGTCTCGCCGTCTGCGCCTCGTGGACGATGTCCAACGTCGTTCCGCCCGGTTTTCAACGAAACACGACGGCAACGCGAGACCAACGGCGAATCAACCACCGACCAACCGATCCCCCCCTCTCTCTTTCCCCCTCCCCCCCTCTCTCTGTCTCTCTGTCTATCTTTTCCTCGCTCTTTTCTCTACCACTTTCTCTATCCTCCTTGTTCGCGCAGTCGAACACGGGCTTGCCACCTCGTACGTATACACACACGTATATACATTTGCGATTGCGCGATCCTGTGATTACACCCCTGTTCGCCGGCACGTAGACGTGTTCATATGCATGTGTATACCAATTACCACCATCGTCGATGGAGGAGCCTTGGTACAGAGCGCGACGGATCCGTGCGCACTGAATATGACCAAGCGAAAGAGACCACCCTTTGCTACCACTACTATCGAGACCATTATCAGTAACCACTACCACCACCACCATCTTTGCCGGCTCCTCCATCATTGGCGCCATCTTCATAGAAGCGAGTTACATCTCTACCTCACGAGTATGCTCCAGTATGCTTTACGTTCAACGTCACTATAATTGTTGTACACGTATACATACAAATATTGGAGGGCGAAGGTAAAAGCATCGGCAGCGCCACCGACCGACGTCACTAACATTATCGCGACGGCCACGACGTCGAACCGTACCACCCGCTCGATTTTCCTATTAATCCCTTCACCACCCCGATCATACCCCCTCATCGTTGATCACTCTCGACTACCCCACCTGTGCAGCGTTCTTCTATAGTATAGACACCCTTCCTTCAGGATGGCTCTCCAACGCGCAATAGCACGTGCGGCTCCATGTGTAGGCGAAAATACAGGATGCTATGCATTGTGCAATGCCTCTGGGTGACAATAAAAATTTCAGAATTCAAGAATTTTCGAATTAACGTTCAAACTAATAAGAAAGTAAAATGAAAGCATTTGACACGAGACCAATATTTCAAAGGATTTTGTTCAGTTATTATTTTTAAAAATCTTCAATTACTATTTATTTAATATAAATTGTCAATAATAAACTTTTTCAGGTTGATAATTGGAATAAAATACTGTAACATATATATCTAATATATTTGTGAATTTTAAATAATAGCTAAGTTAATTTAATTTCTGTCTAAGTTATTTTTAGGAGACTATATTTTAAAGAGCATGTATATACATCTCAAATATTATTTATTAGATGGCTTTAGTAATCTGTATCTCGTCTACGCGTGATACAGATTACTAAAGCCATCTATTGGAAAAATAATGGATTTCTTTTTACTACATCTAATATTTTCAAAGTAATAACAGAATATTGATCATAGCACTTCAATATGTAAAGAGCAATTAAGTTAGTATCATAAAATCAATATTCGTTAAAAAAATTTATTAAAATATATTTAGCAAAATTATACAAAATAATGAAATTGAATTAAATATTTATTAGCTGTTAAAATATCAAAATTTTATGACAAATTATTATCAAAAAAATAAAGTAACACCAAGTACCAATAAAATATTACTTTAAATTTTTTTCCTTTTTTTTTTAAAAAAATTATTATTTTTAACTTAAGAAATGTTATACAAGACTTTTAATGGCGCAAGTAATAAAACTTTGTTTTTTGTTGACTAGTATTTTACATTTTAGATGTTTCCCAATACAAATTCTAACGAATATATTTGAATATATCTCACGTTATTATTATTGTTACAATTTTATTTTATTAAAACTTTAAATTTTATTTATTGTCTTTATTTAATTTTTTTTTAATTCATTAATTATTTTACAAATTTAAATTTATAAACTTCTAGAAATTAATATATTTATTAATAGTACTTATTATAACAATTTTTAATAAAAATAGCTTTATATAAAGAAGATTACCAGTGCACGAATCTTGGAGCACCCTGTATTCCAACCCTGAATGCACGTTCCGTTTGGATTTTCTTCTCCCTTCTCTCCCTGCGGACTGTCGACCTAACGTACGCGCATCGCAATCAATGAAGCTACGATTCACCGAGCAGTAGCGTATAGTCATGGAATTAGATTAAGGCGGTCTCTCTGATATAATATGATGTAATAAAAGCGATACCAAATGTATACAATATTAGGCGCAAGTAATTACTGCTTGGTAAAAAGATTTACGAAGTATTGAATGGTCAATTATAACGTGTACTTCTGATTACGTATTAATGCGTAGCCAACTTGAAAATATAGTCTTTTATATTGCGCCAAACACAAATATATGTTATATAACGTATAAGGTATGTAACATTTTAAAATGTGCAACATTACATAATTATTTATAAAAATTTGACGAATTAAAATGTTTTTTAGATTTTAAAATATTCATAAAAATTTTAAAACATTGTGATCTTTTAAATAGTCTGTTTAATTTAATTAATATAATTTGTATATAATTTACAATTGAATTACTTTGTTATACGTTTTTGCTTTGTATGCAAAATAAAAAAAAAAGTTAAGAACTAATATGCTAAGTGCTACTATCGACTTATAAATGATTAATTACATTTGTTGCAAAAATCCTGGAGTATATGTGTATGTATAATACGTCTTGGAATAGTAAATTGCATATATATATAAAAATACACATATAACACAAGTTCGATGCTAATTACATGACTATTTCTAAAGAGTTCTATACAATCCCGGATACTAGATAAATTGCAATTTATGTTGCATTCTGCCTTGAACATAATTGCATCCATTATATATAATTATAGTGATTTCAAATTATATTAGCAAAAAAAAATCCATTGATAAAACATATAAATATATAATAATAGATATAAGAGGTCAATAGAAATATAAGAAATATCAAGTTAAGAATTAGTCGCAATTTTTTATCTTCTATTACATTGCTCTCACTTTATTTCATTTTATTCCCAGATTCGATTGGACTGACTCATTGAATTGACCTACATTTCCTAAATACGCAGGATTACGTGAAAAACGATTAATCAAGCAGGAAAGGGCGTGTTTTTGTAACGTTTGCTCGAGAACATATCAGGTTGTGATACTCGAAACAAGTTGGAACAATGTTAACCCGACATGAATTTAATGGTGTTAAATAGAAAAATAGCAATTAAAAAATCATTAAAATATTATCGAATTATCGATTATGCCATAACAATAATTTATAATGTTGATATATATATATATATATTAAAGCAATTGAGAAATTATTGATCTTTGCACTTAACTGTTTGTAACTTTCTAGTAATGTTTCAATAGTGATAAAATTGCGATAAAACGATCTCATACATACAAGATATAGCATCATTTGTAAATAATGTATTGCCGATAAACTGAGAGATTTTCTTACGTATTTAACGCTTATCAAAAGAAACAGATATTAACATATTTAAAATTATCTAATAAATAATATGATATATACTTTTGCTGCTTTTCATTTTTTTTAATCTGTAAGTTAAAAAATAAATAGAAATATATACTTGAGATAAAGCCAAGAGTAAGTAAAAAACACTCTTCTTATTATATCATATCTTTGATAAAAATATTACGCACCTGCCAACAAAAATAAAGATAATCAATTAACATCAAAATAATAATAAAAAGATTAAACAAATATAGATAAAATTCGAGATCAAAGACCTTTAAATATTTCTTTTAAGCAATTAATATCTTTCCGTTATTATCAATATTTTTATTTATTAATATTCTTATTATTAATATTTTTCCGTTTTCCGTTCTCGATAATGTTTTTCTGTTTGACATTTCGTTTTGTGCCATCGTTTAAGTCAGATGCTCGTTACCTTTGCGAATTTGCTTATAATAACCTATTAAATTAAAAAGACTTTTTTATGATACCACGAAATGGACTACATTTTACATTTTTTTCTCGTTGTGTATTATGGGACTCTTAACAGATTTACTAAGGTATATCATCATATTTTTAATTTTTATGTGATTAATATTAATTCTTTTTGTTTATGGTTACTTTTCCAGAACATTCTTATGACTTTGTTAATTCTTGATAAAAATGACTCACAGCGTACACAGAAAGAAGAAAGAATTTTTTGTTAAGGAATTTTAAGAATATTGTAAGATTACTTTGTACGAATTTTTAATTTAGAACGACATTTATATTATTATATTATGGCATTGAAAATGACTCAATTGGAGTTGAAACGTTTGTTTTATTTTATTGTATTTTAATTGTTTTTGTATTAAGTTTGCTTATCTAAATTATAATTTTTTTATATACGTCATTGGCTCTTTGCCCTTCTTTTATATTACCTTTTGCAATTAATATCATTTGCCAACTAATAGGAATGTTTTTATTAACATTAAAGTAATTTGATTTTAAACTCTTCTTGACTACAATCTATGTTAAAGTTTGACAATGAAAAAAATTTGCCAAGTTTATTTAAGATTTTTATGAAACTTTATATAATTATTTATTTGCATTTAACGTGAAGATAGATTAAAATCAGATAGATGACAATCAGAAATAAGATGTCAATTTCATGATTAATTAGTTACCATAGCCTTTATTCTATCCATAAAATCTATTTTTTAATTCTTATCTTGCGAAACTATTCATTTATTTATTTATTATCGATATATATCAATATAAAGATGATTTAAAAAATATGGAAAGAATACATGGAATGTATTCTTATGTAATCGATTGCAATACAAAAAATATAAAACAAATTAATACAATATAAAAAAAATTAATTGCACTAACATGAAAAATAAAAGTATTGCAAAACAAGTATGTATTTATACAATATGTTAATTTAAAAAATATATATTAAAATATTCTTTTAATTTCTTTAATTTCTTTCCTTTCTTTCAAAAATTAGAAAATTAAAATTGATTATATCGAACGATTTCTTCGATGCCTATTTATTATATACTGTGTGTGCGATAAGCCTTTTGGACGTGCGACTAAGATTTAAGGATAAACGGAGTAGCCAGAAGGACTAGTTATTCTTACTTGACCGTGAGGCTCTCCCGGGGACCAAAGTGATAAAACTTAAGTGGCGCAGGCTAAGGTCGTTACCACTATCATATGTACGTGCGTTCTCCGGCATCCTGCGATCGTCAGTAGACGATGATCACTCGTTGGCGTCACATCGTTCCTCCATCCCACCTGAACTGTTCTCTCTAAAGGCAGACATGTGGAGCCGCGTGTTGATGCTGTTAACTGCCGTGGCCTGGCAAGTCTCTTCATTCTTACATTCGAATGCAGGTCCATGGATCCAAGCTACGAAGGGCGAACTCTGGCCATTGCCAAAAATGCGTGTTATCAAAGAAGACTTCTATTTGTTGCGACCATCTAACTTTGAATTCCGTGTGAGTCTTTCTATTTATTATTTCTTCCTTTTCACGCTATAGGCCAAGCTCTTTTTAACTCTGTAAAAAAATAAATATAATGAGTATTTTTTTATATAAATGTTCGTTAAATTGTTGAAATAAATTTATAAATTTCTATTATATAATTTTGTCATTTTTAATATTATCATGACATTTCTTGATAATAAAATTTGAGATTTGATGAGAATATCACTCTAAATTTCTTGAAAGGAAATTTCATTTCAACAAAATGAAAATACAGCCACTTTTGAAAAAGAGCGAAAATATTTTACTTCTTGAAAAAGAGTGACAATGTTCATTCTCTTTTAAAATTCTATCTGCCTAATTCTATGTCTCTGCGACTCTCTTTTTATCAATACTTCGGATCGGTTGCTCGAAAACTCATAAAAAATTAAAAGTCCCATCATAGATATTTTTTAAAACAATTAAAATTTCTAATATTATCGAAAGAAATATTTTTCTCGATCATATTAGAAAAAATAGTTAAAGGTGAAGATCTCACCAACTGATCTGTTTGTTTCATATATGTTATTTTCTGTGTTCATTTGTCCTTTATTTATTTTTATTATATTATGTTTATTTTCTTATATCTAAAATTTTATTTTCTTATACTAAAATAAGAATACATGTATGTGTATATGTGTATATGTGTCTCAAAGCAAAGAATGATGTCACGAATATAATTTATATGGATGACAATACAATTGTCATAAAAATATTAAGAGACTTGCGTACACATGCGAAATTGCTTTAATTAAACTGTTATTTTACAAATACAAAAACGAAGCGTAATCAAATAACGATTATAATATTTACTAATTATACTTTATACATTTTATATTATATTTTTATGTATATATAATACAATTAACAGATAATATTTATTATATCTATTATTTGTTATAACAAATATTACTTATTCTTTAACTAAAATACTTTCTAACTTTTGTATTCCATATAGCAATGTTGAATCCAAGAGTTTGTTAAAAAGTATTTGTCTTACACTACACATAACATTATATTTTTTTAATATTAATTTTTATACTTAATCTCTTTTTTATTTATTTTATCTTTTCAGTATTATATCAAATAGCTAAGAAAGCTGTAGAAAGTAAATTTTTTTAAATGTCTGCTACACACTATGCCAATAAAATAACAACAAAAGTTACAGAATTAGATACATAATATTGTTAACAGACTGCTAGAAAAAACCATAACAAAATCTGCAAGTGTCAAATAATGTCAACAGAACTTGCTCAGTTTCTGCCAACAATTTGCTTTCACATTATGTCGACAAGCGATGTTAACAGAACACAAGCCTAATGCGGACGCAGTTGATGGTAGACTGCCGTCATTTTCTGCAAAACCTGCTGACAATCTGCTAGAAGATTGCATTTTGCTGTCTGGGATACATCTGTTTCATTAAACATTACTATTGTTTTTCTAGAAGTAAATTAAAATCATCTTAATTTTATTATTAAAAATTTTAATAAGGAAATTTTTAATAAAAAATGAAATATCTTAATTTCTATATGCTTATATATGTTTTATATTTTTTCAAGTTTCATAAAATATTATTCTAATTTTATTTTAAAATTTAATATTTTTATACTCACAAAGGTGAACGGCGAGGTGTGTGATATCGTGACTGAGGCGATAGAACGGTACAACAGAATTATTTTGACGGAAGCTAGAATAGCAAGGTTGGTCACGGAAGGGCAACCAAGAACATCCGTTCGAGACGATCCTCATTTTAAAGGCAATCTTGAAACCTTAAGCATCCGTCTCTTCAAGCCTTGTGAACAGAACGGCGAGCATTGGCCATATTTGTATATGAATGAATCTTGTAAGTTTAAATTAATTAATCTTGTAAAATTAAATTTATTTTTTTTAATTTATTAATTCGCACAGTAATTTTATTTATATATTTATCAAGCAATAGAAAATATTAAAAAAAAATTACTCTATTTATATATGTACTTTTATTTTAAATAGATTTAAAAACAAATGTATGAATATTTAACTAATTAGCTGATAGCAGAAAACTTTTGTTATACGTCTGTCATAATTCTAATGCATGTTTCATGTGCAGCAACTCTCTTTGCATGTGCAGCTTGCATTACAAAGTAATAGGTAGTGCACCAACAAATTAATTGAATGATGCCAGTGAGCAACAGCTCACTGTAACCCCCGACCTAACATTCGCCGATTTGCGTTGATAACGGGCTTGCGTGCGTACAAATTGGATTTTTGCAATCCTTATAATAATAACGTCTCTCCTTATCGGTGATATTAAATTTAACATCGATTTGATGATTTCCGAAAGATTTCATTATATTGTACATTAACATATCAAACTATAAATAACAAAAGTATACAATAAAGATCATAAAGTTGTAAAACACAAGTTTAATCCATATCTAACAAAGAGAGAAGTGATAGATTAATCTTTCCCAATTGATTATTTCTTATTATACGTTTTATATTTTTATATATTAAAAACAAAATAATTTCTTAAGCAAACCTTTTGCATTTGCAGTAAAAAACAGTTCCATACGCAAAGAGAAATAATCTATCAAATATATTTAATTTGAAATTATAATCACACTTAATATACAAAAAATATATGATCTTTTATTTATGTAAAATTCATGATATTTAACAAGCAACAAAATAAAATTTTTTAATTTATTTCTTGTGGTACGGCTATATTTGGAGTCTGAAACAATGATCGATCAATCAATTTATCACTGATCGCGAAAGGAATTACAATTAATTTAGTCCGATTAAACCAAGAAGATTCCACGACGCGGAATGACGAATGCAGACTGAACACGCGCGAGACTTTCGAGCGAGTTGAGCAATGCACAATCAGCAAAACGATTGAAACAAAGATGGATAATAAGACAATTCTGATCTGCTTCCTAGTTTCTTATCGCTTAAAGCTAAATGCCGTAAGGTCATAACCATCGATTAGCGAGCTAAATTCTATGATTTTATCCTATCTTCCTCGATCGAAACGATTTAACATGACGTTTGATCTCGCGATACACGCCTTTTGCAGATAAACTCGAGATAAATAAGACTTCATCAGTTGCCGTTCTATGGGCTGAATCCGAATGGGGAATCCTTCGAGGTCTCGAGACTTTTTCGCAGCTATTAGCACCGTCTGGTGATGGCCCGAGCGTAAGTATATTTAAATATTTATATCTTTTTATCTTAATTAATAGATTTTTTATGTGAACACAAATGTAAATACAAGTAAAACACAAAATTGATAAAAACATGGAAATAATATTTTTTGCATTATTAACATTTTCTTGTAAAATGTCAATAATTTTGTTGACTTCAACTATGGAACTTGCCAACAAGAAAATAATTTTTAAAGTACATATTATAATCTTTCATTTAAACGATTGCGAACATAAACTTAATAACATGTATTACAGTTAAAAATAAAATGCCAAACTATCCTGGACGAGCCGAAACTGCCACATCGCGGCCTCCTGCTCGATACCTCCCGTCATTATCTACCCCTATCTGACATATTGTTGACACTAGACGCTATGTCATACAACAAGCTAAACGTCCTTCATTGGCACATCGTCGACGATAACAGTTTCCCATATCAGAGTACCAGGTATCCCGACTTGTCCGCCAAAGGCGCCTACCATCACTTGATGATCTACACACCTAATGACGTACAGAAAGTCGTAAATTATGCGAGACTACGTGGAATCAGAGTGATGTCCGAATTTGATACACCTGGACACACTAGATCATGGGGTATAGCCTATCCGGAATTATTGACAACGTGTTATGGTAAATGAGTTTGATATAATTTATTAACCACGGAAAGAATAATTTTGCTGAAAATCTAAAAATTTAGCTTGATGCAAATCTGAAAATTATTTTGTTGGATTAAATAATTATAGAAAATCAAGCATGATGAGCCATATTGCAAAAAATTTTAATATTCTAGTAATCAGCTTAATTCGTGAAAGTCTTATATAATTATTTTGATAATTAACAAAATTATTATCAAATCTGTTAAATAACCTAATCAAATTTTTAGATTTCAGCAAAATTATTCTTTTATAATGTTCTAGTAGAAGTCTAACGTTCAGAGATAAATAAATTTAAATAAATATATTTTTATCTCTGCATCTTATTAATATTTCTTTAGCAATGCAAATTAGCTCATTTATGTACTTGTTAGACTCCACCGAAAAACCAAATGGTATACTTGGCCCTATGGACCCAACGAACCCGAAGGTGTACGACTTCATACAGAATTTGTTCTCTGAGATCGTGCAAGTATTCCCGGATCAATATCTCCACTTAGGTGGCGACGAAGTACCCTTCGATTGCTGGGCCAGTAATCCGAGAATTACCGAGTACATGAAAGAGCGCAATATATCTAAGAAGTACGAGCTGCTCGAAAACGAATATATAGTCAAGATACTCGCGATCAGCAGTTTGCTAAACATCAACACTATTGTGTGGCAAGAAGTGAGTTATTTTTTTTCTGTAAAAAAATTTAATCCGTAAAGGGCACGTCCTTTTCAAATACCCATAAAGAATACCTGATGCGAATGGTGCGAATTTGCATTAGGCATTTTTAATGTTTTATATCTCTTCCGAAAGTTAAGTGAAATTAAAATAAAAACTATGTTTTGCAATATAAAATTTTTTAATCAATCGATTGGTATATTGAATTTTCAAAAAAACAATAAAATCATTCATTTAAAATTGCTCGTTAAGCAAAACCAGCTTTTTCAAATATCTACAAGAATTGGAAATTTTACTGGCGCGAATACGCACCCGGTGTTATTTACGAATTAATTATTAAAAAGTTTGTATGGATATCTCTGTAAACGATGAGATTATTACGATGTAATTATTACGTGAGATGCAAGCATTATCGTTTATTATTTACAAGACATTTTATTGTATGCAAATTGGACGATTTATAGGTTTTCGATAATGGCGTTGTGCTACCCGCGAGCACTGTGGTGCACATTTGGAAAGTACAATTATGGCAAAAAGAGCTAGAGAGAGCAACTAAGGCAGGACATCCGGTCTTGCTGTCATCCTGCTGGTATCTGGATCATATTGCCGGCGGTGGCGATTGGCAAAAATATTACAATTGCGATCCTTTCGATTTTGATAATGCGGCCAACGTTACACACCTTATGCTTGGCGGTGAAGCCTGCATGTGGTCAGAATTTGTCAACAAGTACGTCTAGTCTTTTTTTTTCATATTTAAAAATCTATGAATTAGCATATTAATAGAAGAAATATATTAATTCGAGATGCACCAGATATCCAATATATATATATATATATATATATTGTATGTAAAATATGTCCATACATATAACATTTTTTCCCCATTTTTATGCTTATTAAAATAATAGAATATTTCGTGCAAAGAAACTTTTTGTGTCACAGACGTGTACATTTAACGTGAAATCACTTTCTTAAAAAAATTGCCATGGATAAGAGCATTTTATTTTTTATTTGTGAATAACTCTAAAACATTTATAATCTTTTTCTTGATGAATATATTAAAGACTAAAACACTATGCTAATAATTATTTATTTTACCTAAAAAAATAATTACGAAACGTAAAGCATTCTTGTTGAGCTATTATTTATTTTCAGAAATAACATACATTCAAGAATCTGGCCACGTGCGAGCGCAACGGCTGAACGTCTTTGGAGCTTCAATAAGCAGGATAACAACATCGCCGCTCAACGACTGGAAGAACACGCTTGTCGTATGAACAGACGCGGTATTCCTGCTCAGCCGCCGAATGGACCAGGGTTCTGTGTAACATAGCCGGTTCTCCGTCAGTTGATACCAATGCTCCGTTTAATCTATGCAATATTTACACTCGCATAGCAAATCCTCGAGAAATACGAGCTTCCGTTTCATGCACTCATTCATCGTTATCGTATAAACATGCATATGTTATAATAAATATAGCCTGAATAATATAACAGTACTTTTTTTATATCCTGTCTAATTCCACGAATCTCTCTCCAGCAGAGAGAGAGAGAGAGAGAGAGAGAGAGAGGAGGGGAGAGAGAGAGAGTTTCCAATACGTATTATTAACAACAATGCTTAAAAAAAAGAAAACTATAAATAAATAAGCTAAACATTATATTTTTAAAATGATTAAAAATGTATACTGTATAAATTATATAATAAATCATATATTTTTTAAATAAGTTTTCTGTAATATTATTTCGCATATTTTTATATGTATTTATAAAATTTTCTTGATCATATTTAATCTGGGAATGTAACGGGATATGAAATACTTAAATCGGAATTGAAATACTTAAATCTCATCTGCATATACATATATGTTGCGATTGCATTGTCTATCACTATTCTTCCTTACAATGTTGAAATCGTGATATATTCTTGAATGTAGATATTGCGACAAAGATACTGCTTTTGTTACTAGCTTTTCAGTCGAACTCGTGAATCATTGCTGAAATGCATCGACTGATGTGCATCGAGAGTATTGTCAAATGTGGACATGTGCTGTGACAGCTGCATTCCCTGTAGAGGGAATTCCTTTGTCGGAACTCAAACAGTTGTGACGAAATTGATTTCCGTTGACGGTTAAAGTCAATTTCGATTGAATACTTTTTATCAACAATATGCAAATTGCAAATGTTGCTCATCAAGTAATTGAACTTGATCCAGTTTCAAATATTATTGTATTTGTACTAACCGTGGCAAACTAATATAATGAAATATACTGGTATAATTTATGCAAATTAGATAATCAAATAGTTAATTTTTTTAAATTTTAAATTAACTTGCTTTTGGAAAAACTCGCTAAATTATTTATTGTAAATTTTTCATATTTAATACAAAATATATTTTAATAATTATATAAATCCAATCAAATTAACATAAATTATAACATTGTGTTATCTATACTTATCATTTTAAAACAAGTATAAATGTATTATTAATTTTTATAAATCTTGATCAGTTAAAATGTTTTAAAAATTTTCTAGATCTCTAGCTGTCAGCTATGATATATTATAAATTATAATGCTTACGTTTCTTGCAAAACAAGCAACTACGTCAGCCACGTATATTTAGAAACGGAAACGAGAAATGGGAATCACCGTGTGTGATTCCCGCATGTAATTTATTCTGTAATCTGTAAAAGCCGACAATCAATTTTTTACGGATCACCAAGGTTACCAGTAAATAATCTTCGGTTGATCACAGTCTATAGACATGAAAGGCTAATTTTAAATTCTAAAGTATTTCTCAGAGCAATTCACTAAATTCCAAGTAACTTTATTAAGATTGATTCTCGTTTGATAGAAGGTCTCTAGTTGTTATCGACGACTTAACGTCAATTATTGAATTTCTAAACTAAAAATACAAAACATTATCTAGAATACATCTTTAACGTCATGTCGAGGTAAATTTTAGTAGGATTTTATTATTCTATTAGAATAATAAATTCTAATAGAATTTCAATCAAAAATACACTATTTATTAACATAATTTCATTTATGTGATTATTGTCAAAATTATTAAATTTTTGATTTTACATAATTCCGTATGCAGTCAAATAATGGAATATAATAGCGAGTAAGCATCACAGAAATAATTAATTAGAGAATTTATACTTTAAAAATATTAAAATAAAGAATATTTCAAACTAATCTTCTATTTAAATCATAAATACGTAATATATTACATGAGTATGTACTGATTAATGAAATATTTTTTTCTTAATTTGCTTATTAATTTGTAATAATTATTTTTAATGATTTAATAATTTATGCGATTAAAACGTTGCAGGAATTGCCAGAATGTATGTCTTCCTCCTCCTGATTGTCTACCAACGAGATGTCCAATTCCATGTTCTGTAATTTGTTGTACTCCACCTGTGTGCTATCCCAGTATGCCTCGTATACCTCGTGTTCAATATAAAATAACTTGTCCTCCCGTGCCGAAACCTGTTAAGACAGTGGTATGTTTGCCGCGTGAAATATTAACTCTAATTTTCTCTGATTAATATATTATATGCATATTATAACAATAAAAAAAAGCTTTGAACATTTTATTATTAAATTATATGCATATACAAGATAAAGGTTATTTTTTAAAGAATTAAAAAAAGGCTCCAATAATTAAAAATAGAAAATAATTACTAAAAGGGGCTATGAACGAAGCTAGATGTTTGTTGTTAACTATCTTACATTTAATATTTAAAAAAATACACAAATAGTTTTGACCTGTTATCAGGTCATTCTCAATGTGAGACAAAAATTGTCATTATATAATTATTTCTATTCGCTTATTACAGTTCAATTCTTACGTATTATGATTACATAGGTGTGGTGCAGCCGCTTTTATCAATTTTTTTCACTTAAAATTATTCTGTTTCTTCAATAATTACTATATGTCCTTCCTTAATCCATTATACTAAGAATATTTAATATCCATAAATAGATTGAAATAATTGTTACAAAATTGAAATTAATTAATTTATAAACTCTCTGTATCGTAATGTATGTGTATAAAAAACTAAATTAAAAAATTAAATATAATTGAGTGATACCTGGATAGATAAGTCGGCATTTACATTCTATAGGACTTCTTAAAATTTTACATTCATCTATAGGACTTCTTCATTCCCACATGTTACACCCTTTCCATTATATTTCATCTTCTATCGTTTTCTCCGAATTCAAAAAATGAATGTAACATGTGTCACGTTTATTGTTAAAATGAGTAACTAAAGTAAGAGAGCAATTAAAAACGATAGAAGATGAAATGTAATAGAAAGGAGGTAACATGTAGGAATTATTAGGAAGGGAATAAGGATGGTACAAAGGGAAGATATCCATCAGGCAGTGTCGTTCTGTTTATTCAATCCTTGCCTGTTTTTTTATGAAGACCATCTCAGAAATTAGTTTTTTATTGTGATAGTTCTCTATCTAATATTTTAATTTGCTTCCAATCAAAGTTATGGTTTAGAGACATGCGATGATTTGAAATTACTGATGGCATAATGGGGGAATTTCAATTTTATAACGATTATTTCATTATCTATTTATATGTAGGTATTAAATATTCTTAATAGAATGGATTAAAGAAAGAATCATAGCAATTATTGAAGAAGCAGAATAATTAATTAGAAAAAAATCGATAAAAGCGATTGCACAACACCTATGTGATTATAATGCGTAAGAATTCAATTGTATAATAAGCGGATGGAAATAATTTTATAATGACAATTTTTGTTTCACATTAAGAATGATTCGATAACTAGTCAAAACTGTTTGTGTATTTTTTTTAATATTAAATATATAATAGAATAGTTAGCAAATGGACATCTAGTTTGGCTCGTTTTAGCCCCTTTTATTAATTATTTTCTATTTTTTTAAAATATCGTGACTAATTATTATCATTATTTTGAAACAATTTTTTCATTATTTTAATTTTAAGTAATTAATTTTTTTCACTCTCTTGTACGCTGATATATGATATATATACATATAATGTTTTATAGCTTTTTAATGATAAAAACTGAGAAAAAAAATTTTGTAAAAGGTATATTTACCACCCTGTCCAATCTGTCCTCTGTCTTGTCCACCGAAAATGGAAATGACGTATGTGCCACCTATACCATCCTGTCCACCCTGTTTTTATCCTGCTTGCGATACGAATTGCGTTCCTTGTCCTCCACCGATCTCGTGTAACTTGCCCTGTAAACTCCCATTATGCCGTCAGTTTATTTCCATACTTCCTTTTATTAGAATTTGTCGCTGAGATTAATGTGAGTTTCTTGTTTCGCAGTACCTTGTCCTCCCTGTTAAGTGACGGCGTTCTAATTGGCGACTTACTGGGCAGTAATTATGCAACTGCATGCAGGGTACATATGCATCACTAATATACATATAAGAGGCAAAAAACGAACTTTCTAAATGACTTAAGTCATAAAATTTAAAATTATAAAATTTTGATGCTATATATAGATTAAAATTTTAAAAAAAATTGTATAAGAGAGAGAGAGAGAGAGAGAGAGAGAGAGAGAGAGATAAAAATTTTAAGACAAACATTTAAACAATTTCAGAAATTTACTCCAGTACATTTATTTTTTCTATACAATTATTTTGCTTTATCTTATAAAGATTTATTTTCTTCTATTTGTAGAGATGAAGAACATTTTGGAATAATTAAGAAAAAAATCGATATGGAAAGATTAAAACCAGGAGAACTTTATCAACGAATCAAAATTAACTACGAGATAAATGAATATGAAATATACTCACAAAATAACAAGCAACATAACAGAAGAAACATAATTTTAACTTCTTGCAACTGTAATCTTGTAATTCATTGTCTTTTATTTCATGCTGATAAATTCAAATTAATTATGTGTTTTTGTAGTATGTAAAATATATATTGTAAAATATTAAATTTAAACTTTGTCCCCTACAATTGTAAAGAATAAAAATATATTTGTTACTAAAATATAAAACAGCAATAACATATTGTATTTTATCTGTGTTTTTGTCATAATTCATACAGAATAAATCTATGAGATTTTAAAAAATCGTAATATCTATAATATTTAATTTATCTCTTTCTTATAATTATTTTACACTGTTCCTATATCAATTTTAAAAATAAAACTAATGTATGTGATACAACTAATTTTGTTTAAAGAGAAATCTGAGAGTGGACATGTTTATTTTAAAGCAAATTCATGAATATCTCCGATACTACATTTATTTTAATGTCATTTTACGTTACATTATTTGGTTTTATTTATGTTTATAATATTCCTATGATAAACAAATAAAATACGACAAAAAAGATCAAATATAATGTCATTGTTAAAAAAATTTATTACAAAGAAATGTATTGTACATACAAACTAATATAACGTATTACATTTTAACTAAATATAATTACAATAAAATTCTTGATTAAATTAAAAACTATTTTATACAAATATTATACACTACTCACAAAAATTGGAGGAACACTTGATTTTTTATAAAATTAAAAATAAAACAAAGACTACAACAAAGCCAAATTAGATCCTAATGCTCAACTATAAAAACATAAGTTTATTATACAAACGTTTCGACTCTTACATATTAGATCATCTCAATGTTTAAATGAAATAAAATTTGAAATTAACAGCTCATTTGAAAAACAATAACTTGCCAATACTATGATAGACAGTACAAATAATAAAATATAAATGATAAAACGTGTTAACTTAATTTTTGATAAAAAATAGACAAAATTTAGACAGCTGTAACTTCGTCAAAAATGAACAAAATTTGAATTAAAAAAAAAGAATTTTAAATCTCTATTTTCGAAAGGTCACCATGTTTTTTGTTTAGTAATTTTTACACATAGAAAACTACGAGCTCAATTAAATAAGAAATCTTTAGCTCATTTTGTGGGATTGTACAAAAAAATCTGCGAAAATTTTTGACTTTCTCATGTAAAAACTTGAAGTTTTTCCTACAAAATCGTTTTTTAAAAACATTTCTACGAGTTTTCGTTACTGAAATATCGTGGATCGAGTAAAAAGTGCACTTTGACTTTGATTGCTCATAACTCTGTTAAAAAACATCGTATCTCAACTTTAAAAAAAGATTCTTGAAGTTAGAACTTTGCTCTATTTAATAGTGTAATTGCCAAATTTTTTTAGAAATACGTAAACATGATAAAAACTGATTAAATGTATCATAAAAATTAGCAACTTTTTTCCTTTTTTATTTTTATTCAGAAAAAAAAGTGTGGATCAACAAGAAAAATTTATTTTTTTTTTTGTGCTTATAAGTATCCTGCATTTACAAAAAGTTTGCCGAATAGCTATGAGATCTCTTTCGTGATGGCCACTATGGTTTTATGATGCGAACGTATAAAAATGAAAAATTGCTTAATTTCAGTATAAAAAACAAAGAAAATAAATAGTAAAGTTAATTAACGTTGAAAAATCAGTTTCCAGTGCATTATGCTGATCTTTACCAAGTGTCAGTACGAATAAGTTTGTCTATTATTTACTTCACTGAAATTTGAAAAAAATACCACTGACGTTAGCGTTATCGCTAACAAATCGAGGAGGTCTAATACATGATAATGCACGACCGCACACTGCTCATTACATAATAGTTTCTAAGAAATCATAGAATCATAATATTATTGCATCCGCCGTTGAGTTTCGATTTAAATCCAATTGAGCATGTTTGGGATATGTTAGAACGTAGAGTATACGAAAACTATCCCAACATCGCTGATTTAGCTTCGCTTATCAGAGCCTTAGGCCGGGTTCGTACCTTGACGAAAAAACGGAAAGCGGAAAAGCGGAAGCCAATCGGAACTCACAGTAGTAGTAGGCGGTACATTCCGCTTGTCTGCTTCTGTCTTTCCGCGAGTTCTGATTAGCTTCCGCTTTTCCGCTTTCCGTTTTTTTTCCGTCCAAGTGTGAACCCGATCTTACACGAACCTGGCAGTAAATTTCTCAAACAGCTATATGCCGTTGTATCAATATGCGAAACCGATTGTGTGCAGTCATTTTGAATAGAGAAGGAAACAAGCGTTATTAAATTTATCTCTTCAGGAAATGTTACGATATACTGCTGATATTGAAAACCTATAATTAAAATTACGTGTACTCTAGATTTTCGATACTGGCAGTATTGAAACACATCCTGAGTCTTAATCTTTTTTATGCATGCATTTCAAACACACACACACACACACACGCGCGCGCGCGCGCGTGCACAACATATACAACGAAACGTAAATCCGACCGTGCGACCTCCTCGTGATACACTTTGGATAACGCTAACGTCGGTGATATTTTTGCAAATTTCAGTAAAGGAAGTAATAGACAAACTTATCCGTATTGACACTTGGTAAAAATCAACGTAGTGACGATACACTGAACATTGATTTTTTTTAACGTTAATTAAACTTTACTGTTCATTTTCTTTATTTTTTTACACTAAAATTAAGCGATTTTCCATTTTTTTGTACGTTTCGTATCATAAAACCATGGCCATCACCAGAAAGAAATCTCATAGCTATTCGGCAAATTTTTTGTAAATGAAGGATTAAAGGCACAAAAAATCGTGAAAAATAAATTTTTATTGATTCACACATTTCTTTCGTGACTAAATATAAAAAAAAAGAAAATTGCTAATTTTTACGATATCTTTAATCATTTTTTATCATCTTTACGTGTTTCTTAAAAAATTTGGCAATCACGCTATTAAATAGAACAAGTTCTAGCTTCAAGAATCTGTTTTTAAAGTTGTGATACGATGATTTTTAATGATGGAATCATGAGCAATCAAAGTCAAAATGCTCATTTTTTATTCGATTTGATTCAATATTTAATAATGAAAAATCGTAGAAACGTTTTTAAAAAATGATTTTATAGGGAAAACTTGAAGCTTCTACATAAGAAAGTCGAAAAATTTCGCGAGATTTTTTTGTACGTGACATGCCCACAAAGTGAACTGAAGATTTCTTATTTAGTTGAGCTCGTAGTTTTCTATGTGTAAAAATTATTAAACTCACAGAAAATAAAAAATCATGATGACCTTCCAAAAATAGAGATTTCAAGCTTTAAAATTTTTTTTTAATTCAAATTTCGTTCATTTTTTATGAACTTACAGCTGCCTAAATTTTGTCTATTTTTTATAAAAAATTAAGTATTCCTCTAATTTTTTGTGTGTAGCGTATATTTTTATTTTAAATATCCAGACAAATTTTAAGTATCCAAAAATTTTAATGTACAAATGCATTAAAATGTAGAGCTCTTTTCTTTAATGTATGACTTTTTTCATTTTTTTAATAGAATCCATTAAAATAATTTAAAAAAAATAACCGTACGTGTATCCATAGCAACTTGTCACGCACTTGTCCCTCTTTTTTCAACACGTCAAAACTCGCGACTTCTTTTCGGCGGTAATGCAAAATCCGCTTTAAAAAAATCTCTCATTAAGTTTAACGATGATCTTTTGACAGTAAATGTCGTGTTATCTAAATTAGCGTCTAAACAAAATTAATAATGAAAAAGAGGTAAGCATTATGAGAAATACATATGTCAATAAATATAAAAAATCTCTCACGCTGGAAAGTTTGCTTTAGGAAAGTTTTAATTGAGAAGAATTCTGGACACAAAGAATCATTTGCACGTCCGAGCGTGGTGAGCTTACGATCTGTCATCACGGGTCATCAAAGACGATCGCAATCTATGAAATCGCCATCAGCTTCCGCTTTTCCGCTTTCCGTTTTTTTTCCGTCCAAGTGTGAACCCGATCTTACACGAACCTGGCAGTAAATTTCTCAAACAGCTATATGCCGTTGTATCAATATGCGAAACCGATTGTGTGCAGTCATTTTGAATAGAGAAGGAAACAAGCGTTATTAAATTTATCTCTTCAGGAAATGTTACGATATACTGCTGATATTGAAAACCTATAATTAAAATTACGTGTACTCTAGATTTTCGATACTGGCAGTATTGAAACACATCCTGAGTCTTAATCTTTTTTATGCATGCATTTCAAACACACACACACACACACACGCGCGCGCGCGCGCGTGCACAACATATACAACGAAACGTAAATCCGACCGTGCGACCTCCTCGTGATACACTTTGGATAACGCTAACGTCGGTGATATTTTTGCAAATTTCAGTAAAGGAAGTAATAGACAAACTTATCCGTATTGACACTTGGTAAAAATCAACGTAGTGACGATACACTGAACATTGATTTTTTTTAACGTTAATTAAACTTTACTGTTCATTTTCTTTATTTTTTTACACTAAAATTAAGCGATTTTCCATTTTTTTGTACGTTTCGTATCATAAAACCATGGCCATCACCAGAAAGAAATCTCATAGCTATTCGGCAAATTTTTTGTAAATGAAGGATTAAAGGCACAAAAAATCGTGAAAAATAAATTTTTATTGATTCACACATTTCTTTCGTGACTAAATATAAAAAAAAAGAAAATTGCTAATTTTTACGATATCTTTAATCATTTTTTATCATCTTTACGTGTTTCTTAAAAAATTTGGCAATCACGCTATTAAATAGAACAAGTTCTAGCTTCAAGAATCTTTTTTTAAAGTTGTGATACGATGATTTTTAATGATGGAATCATGAGCAATCAAAGTCAAAATGCTCATTTTTTATTCGATTTGATTCAATATTTAATAATGAAAAATCGTAGAAACGTTTTTAAAAAATGATTTTATAGGGAAAACTTGAAGCTTCTACATAAGAAAGTCGAAAAATTTCGCGAGATTTTTTTGTACGTGACATGCCCACAAAGTGAACTGAAGATTTCTTATTTAGTTGAGCTCGTAGTTTTCTATGTGTAAAAATTATTAAACTCACAGAAAATAAAAAATCATGATGACCTTCCAAAAATAGAGATTTCAAGCTTTAAAATTTTTTTTTAATTCAAATTTCGTTCATTTTTTATGAACTTACAGCTGCCTAAATTTTGTCTATTTTTTATAAAAAATTAAGTATTCCTCTAATTTTTTGTGTGTAGCGTATATTTTTATTTTAAATATCCAGACAAATTTTAAGTATCCAAAAATTTTAATGTACAAATGCATTAAAATGTAGAGCTCTTTTCTTTAATGTATGACTTTTTTCATTTTTTTAATAGAATCCATTAAAATAATTTAAAAAAAATAACCGTACGTGTATCCATAGCAACTTGTCACGCACTTGTCCCTCTTTTTTCAACACGTCAAAACTCGCGACTTCTTTTCGGCGGTAATGCAAAATCCGCTTTAAAAAAATCTCTCATTAAGTTTAACGATGATCTTTTGACAGTAAATGTCGTGTTATCTAAATTAGCGTCTAAACAAAATTAATAATGAAAAAGAGGTAAGCATTATGAGAAATACATATGTCAATAAATATAAAAAATCTCTCACGCTGGAAAGTTTGCTTTAGGAAAGTTTTAATTGAGAAGAATTCTGGACACAAAGAATCATTTGCACGTCCGAGCGTGGTGAGCTTACGATCTGTCATCACGGGTCATCAAAGACGATCGCAATCTATGAAATCGCCATCCGTACAGAATTTGCACAATTCAAATTCGTCGGATAAAGTCACCAAAGTTACAGACGATCGAATGGTATTACCGGACGAGATGCAATCTTCGAAAACTAGATTCAGTTCTCGCAACAGATCGAAAGAGACACGTTCAACTTCTTCGTCAAGGCTCAAGAGTTTTCCTGCCGAAGAGATAAAAAAACTAGATAATTCGCCAATGTTTACACCTGAGCCAATTGCTGCTTTCATACAGCAAGATCCTCAAGCAAATGGAACTTTTTATACAAATCCCTTCAGCAAAAATAATAATGGTCATGGTGATGCGATTTCTATTCAATTGTCGCCACATCAACAATCAAAAGTAAATTCTATAGAAATTCTTTAAACTTTTAGTTTTATAATTTAATACTATATTAATATATATTAGAAGAGAGAGAGAGAGAGAGAGAGAGAGAGAGAGAGACTAATCTTAAAAATATTATGTAAATTTATATTTCAAAACATTTATTTATTTAAAAAAAAATTATTGCGATAAATATTTTCGCTGGAATTAATTTAATTTATAACATTGACTTTTTATCAACAAACTATTATATTTATACTATTATATTTATTATGAAATTTTATAAAAATTTGGTTTTTATATAGCACAGAAATACGTTATATATAATATTATAAACTTAAATAATTAAATAATTTTACAAATAAAATTAATGTATTTTTAGTTGCAAAATACATATAGCACAAGTCAGCAACAGGTTGTCGCTAACCATCGGGAGATTTGTCAAACAAATCCACAGTCTGAAAGCTTACTGACTCGACGAATCGCATCTCCCGAAAGACAAGCGCATCGTCCTTTCGTGCCAAATATCCCCCAAGGAGCAGTAGTCTACGATCGATCACTTCGAAGCTCGTCTGCGATAATTAATCAGCCGGTAATTACACAAATCCCTTCGACACTAGTCGCGATGCCACAAATGCAAGGATCTTCGACTGATTCGCACATAGTTGTCGGCCAAAATCCCAATGAACCTTCAGCGCCTGACAGTCAGTGCCAGAAACAATTGGTCAATGATCGAAATGCAGTTAATAACAGACAAATGTTCATGCAGCAACAAAAGCAAGCATTAATCGAACAAAATACTAGTGCGCCACTAAACGATCAGACAGCGGGTAACTGTCAAAATCTTTATCATGCTCAGTTTCATGCTCCATTTCAACGGAATCTACACCAGATCAATCAGCAAACACAGCAGAACTATCATCAACAAATGTTGCCGCAAGGACTCAATCAAATGCAATCAATATCCAATCTGCAACAACATATACGCAATAATTCAGTAACGCACTGCGGTTATTACAATCAACAATTGCCTATCGTGCCAGTCTTTGCACAAGGAATGACTTCTCCGCAAGACATGATAACGAATCGAATGAGATCAATGCATCATAATTTACCCATCCATCAACAGAATCTTGGATATCCTGTTAACTTCCAACCTACTTGGCAACAAAATCATAAATGGATACAAATAGCGAATCAAAATCAACAACATTTGCAGCCACCGTCACAATGGCAGTATTATTATCAAACACGCGATCCAACCAATTTCAATCAGAAAAATTCTGGGAGTCAAAATCAATCTAATCAATCAATCAATCTATCACAGAATCAGGCAAATTATAAACCTGATCAATCATCCATGGAAACTCTACGAGAAGAAAAGAAGACACTGCAATTTACGTCTGACATGATTCGCGATCAGGAATTGTTAGTTTCTACCATGAGGCAGCAAGGTATACCTGAGGAAGTAATGCGCCGTCAATTTGCAGCGTTACTGAATGAGCAAAAAAGACAACTAGCTTATATCGCGCAGTTTCAACGAAATATTCCGGAGGAAATCAAGAGAACTCGACTCGTGCGAAGAAGAACAGAAAAGGACGAGAAACCGGAATGGATGATGCACATCACGCCACCGCGTATATCATACAACGATATTGAAAGAATGAAAGCACAACAAAAAGCTTTGAACGAACAATATCTGATGAATAAATCGTTGGAAAATATGAATAAAATAGTGGCTGATCAACAAAAAAATTATCATCAATCAAAAAAAGAAGAAATATGTAGCCAAGAGTTGCCTCAGCAAATGTATGGTCAGGTCAATCCTTATCAGCTATGGCAAACAACTAATTGGCCACATAGAAGTGATCAAATATCATGCGGTCATACCGCTTGTTACCCATATAATCATCAGCAAAATGCATCGAATAATGTGTGCCGTCCATTAAATCCAACTTTTAAATATGCACAATATCCATACAATATGCGTTATAATCCATATTTTCCGCATTCTGAGCCACAAGAAGTTTGGTCCAAGGAACATAATATGAATTCATTAAATCCGGTTGATAATCAAAAAATTTCAATGGAACCCGCGTACTATTATCAACAAAGCATGAGAAACTTCCAGCATGAGAAGCCTGCAGAAACTTCCAGTTTGCTCAAAATGCGAGTATACAAGGAAATAATCCGTCCTCAGAAACGCAATAATGGCTTGCAAGATCTAGATAGCATTCAGAAGATGCTGGAAACGATGAAGGATTCTAGAAGTAGGAAGGGTCTCGAATATCTCGCCAATTTGACCAAAAAGAAACCTATCGTTAAACTGAACGGTATTCAGGGTTCCCACGAGATTCCGGAAGACATGCAACAGCGACCATCGATAGAAACCCACTTGCAATCTCAGAAAAGAATATTAGCAAATGGTTTGGAAAATGGCAGGAATCCAAACAATCCACCGTTACGTATCTTGCGACCTAAAAAAGCTGATGAACCTTTAATGATAGAGTACCCGCGGCAAAAGCAAAGCACTAGAAACTATTACAATATGCAGGCAGAAAAGGAAAACGGTATGATGGAGATTTTGCAAAACCAAGATGCACTTTCCCACGTACAGAATGAATCAATTTCTTATGATCGACAGAACAAACCTATGACAGAAGGATGTCACAGGAACAATAACATAATCCAATACAAAGGAAATGTCTCACCTCATTATCATCAGATGCAGCAATACTATCTTAATGAACAAAACCTGCAGAGTCACAATGGCGGTCAGGGTGACGTCGCATGTATGCAACGGCCGAATGCACCCGACGCGATGAGAATCGATCGCGCTGGCGGTGATACCGGAGAGAAACCGAACACTGAAGACGCGAAAAGAATGGGCAGTGTGCAGGCGATGCAGGGAACGAATGCTTACAGCCAACCGGAAATCCACGAGACAAGGACCATCGGAGGTATCACGTATCTTGCCAGGAAGCCCGAGTGTGCCCTTAACAATCATGTTGTTTCACCGGATAAATTAATCGCGAACGGACACGTGTAATCTCCAAAAATATTTTAGGAACTATTTAAATTTTCATTCCACTTAGTCCATTTTGTGTGATTAAGTTTAATCTCCAATCTTTTGTATTAAAAATTTATTATATAATTAATATATTCTCATTGAAAGAAATGCATATGAGATATATATAAGTACTATTTAAAACTATTCTTTTCGTATCTATTATGTGTTCGTATTTTTTATTTTGTAAATGTGAGGCATGTATTACTTTATACATTGTAAATTAATATCTAGTTATAAATTTGACTAGATTAGATAATAGATACGCAAAATCATTTGATAAAATCTGACAAAAATTAAATGTATAGATCAATAATTGATTTGATCTTATTTGTATATTTAAATTATCTCAAAAAAAGAACGTTATTTATGTGTGACTAACATGATAAATTGTATGATGAAAGGAGAATGTAACATTTTTTTTACGTCAATGTGCGAATATATGTTATAACTTTAAAGTTTTATTTTCCTATTTTTATTTATATTATATGTACATTTTTATGGGAATTTTATTCTTTGATATTGCGTTGCGTATATTTCATGGAATACTGACAAAAAATGTATAACTTTTTAAAAGTGTAACAAATAAATTTGTAAACATATTAAGTCCTATTCAATCTAAGATACAATAATAGATATTAGTAATATTATAATATAATATTGTAAATTGTAATAGAATTGGCTAAATCAATTTTCTTTATAAGCATTAGAGAGAAATAATTAACATTTTTCTTTTAATTTAATTTCTGACACAATTTGAAGTAAGTAATATAGTACAAAATCGATTATTAAACATTGCAGAGAGAAAAATCTGTCATTAATATGAATTCACATCGATCTTCCAAGCTTTGGCACACGAACTAAATTTACTGGTAATAATATTATAACAAAGTTCAATAAGTGATTCACTAGACATGGATAGGTGTCAGCATAAACGAAATTATATGGACGAAATGTATAATATTATACGTAAAATAGAAAGTTTGTAAGTAATATATACATATATCTATGATTTCTAAATGATATAGCTACTGCATTTACAGATTCACAAAATAGAATATCTGATCAAATGAAATCTTCAATACATTAAAGAAAACGGAATATTCTCTATTTTCTGTTCGCTAGGAAGCCCGAGCCCGAGGTGTGCAATATAAGCTGCCCTCCTCTAGGATGTCCTCAAGGACCCTGTCCGGGAATATGTTACTCAAAAGGAGTCTTTCTTGATCCTTGCTGCGTGTCGAGAATAGCATGTAGATCGTCACTCCAGCCATTTCAACGTTGCATGTCACGATGTTTAAATGACTATGCATGCAATGACAATGTAGTTCGCTTGCCGTATTATGGCTCTTCATCGATTATAAATCGAGGAAACCCACATAATCAAAATAGTGATTGTTTCAATCCTCATCAATCAGGATTCCAACAAGCTTCTCACTCTTCGTCTCATAATCTTACATCGACTACTTTCCCTCGTTGCACTGGATCCGTGCAATGTTTGTAGTTGAGTCCGAAGATATAGTTATACTTGTATTATGAACAAATATTTCTTTTCCCATTAAAGAAATTAACGTAAAGAATCCAGATTACTTAGAGAAATTGTGCATTTTATTCTATTCTTTCGTTATTACGGTCCTATTGTATGATTTTTGTTTAATCAAATATTCCATGTAATGAAATTAATTTTAATAATTACGAGAAAATAATAAAAAAATGTTTTTAATGTAATTGCATTATTTCATTATATCTCCGCTTTCAATATTAAAAATAACTACTTTTCAGGTAGATTATACCATGGTGTATAATCCATGATGTAAATACATGTATTATACGAAAAGTTTATATATACATGCTTTGATTTACATGCTTAAAATTTACAAAATTAATTACAATTTCATCAGTGTGATGGAATTAATAGATTTCCTACAATAAATTATTAACTAAGGTTTAAGTCTTAAGCTGTAAGAAATTGATCAATCACAATCAAATGTGAGAAGAATAATCGATTATGATTAGTCAATTTCTTACGGCTTTACAGCTTAGGGCTTCTTAAAGTAAGGTTGTAGACTTAAACTTAAAGCCTGCGGCACACGATGCTTATTTCCTGCTGGATTATTAACTGGATTAGAATCTTGTCACTGTATTGGCTGCGATGCTATCAGTGCCAGCATCGCTCCTTACATGTCTACAGCCTCTACTGTTCATTGTAGACACTTTATGATTAGCTAATACTTGGTTTATGCTTCGATCTTAACCCTAAAATTCTAAAATGTCAGCCAATAAGACTGCCAGTCTTAATTGGTCCTAACTAAAATCTGTATTCCATTAGCTGGATTTTAGGATTAAGACCAAAGCATAAACCAAGCATAATTTGCTTACTGCTTAGACCTAATTACACCAACATTACTATAATGCGTGGTCTAATAGCAGTATCAGTAATGGATGAGGCTGTAAGAGTAAAAAATTGACCAACACACAGTTGATTATTCTTCTCACATTTAACTATAATTGGTCAATTTGTTACTCTTACAGTCTCATCTACTACTTCTATTGCTATAGATAGACCACACATAATAAAATGAGGCCTCAGGCTGCGGTCAAAGTCTCACTACAAATGCTTTGAAGCATTTGATTGACCAATTAGAAAAAAGGAGATATTCTTTGTTAATGTATTAATTATGTATTTACTGAAGATGGCTAAAACCTATAGCCGAAACATTCAAATTACATCTTTTAATACACATTATACTATTAATAATTATATAAATATTATGTAGATTGCACACCTCTTACCGCGCTGACTCCAAAGTAGCCCCCTTAAATCTGTATTATATTTTAGAAAAAAGAATTTTACAAATTGGATCAATCAAAAATTACTTTAAAGCATTTATAGCATCGCATTGACCGTACCCTAAAATAAAAAATCGATTTTAGAGTTTAAAATCGATTTTTCATTTTTTTTTTAATTTAGACATAAAAAAATAGTATATTTAACTACTTTCAGTTTGAATATTAATGTTATGCTATGAATGCGTATGTATCAGCTAAAAAATATCATTTTAATTAAAGTCAGTGATTCTAATAAAAAAAGCATCTCTTTTGTAAAATAATGTAAACATCATTTCCATAGAATTTTAGTTGTAAAAAATGGACGACAGAGAAAAAGATCTCGTCACATATTACCCAATCAAACATAATTCTGTGGAAATATTTGCGACTATAATTGGCAAATCACGCGATCAGATGGAAGTTAGTTTAATATTTGAAATAAAATAATAACAATGTTTTACGTTTGCAACGTTTATCAATTTCATTAATATTCTTGTAGTGTAGTATGACTCCATCGGAATATATCAAACAGATGTTAATGTGTACTCAAGAAAGAATCAATTATTTGCTGAAACCAGGTCGCAATATAAACATACAATCTTTATATTACAATTGTGGAAGTCACTACTTTAAAGTTTCGCCTAGTATTGTTCTTTTTCAACGATTTGTTCCTGGCAATTTGTACAATATGACGCTCACGATTCAAAACTTGACAAAAGTAAATCTTTTCTATTCTAATCATACATCTTGTTAATATTTAACTAACATATCAAATTCTGTTGCGCTAACTCTCTTCACGATTGTTATATAATATTCACGTGGAGCTTAACCTCCATTTTCTAAATATTGCATCAAAGATGTCACGGTCCCTGAAGCTCTCGCGCGACCCCGATCCTTTTTTTTCCGTGGAATATCGTGGATCAAATTACAGTACTATGATAGCGCCAGGACTCGTTCAAATTTATAACGTCAGATTCAGCCCGTCAGAGAAGCGGGATTACGAATATTATATCAAATTTATCAGTGATATCGAAGTCTTCATGGTACCAGTAATCGGTGAGAAAGGAAATTATATTATATTATAATCACGTATGGTCACGTAACACAGAATAATGCAGATTATATTGTTCTAGCCATCGGTTTGAGACCTATTCTAGACATTCCTGATCAGATCGAAATACCAGCTACTGCGGTAAAAATTCCCTCTTCGAAAACTATTCTGGTACGCAATATAGGAGATGCACCAGCGATCTTTAATTTTTGTTCAGAAAGGTAATGTTATATTCAGTTAAAAAGATAAACTTTAATAAACTATTATATTTCCAAATAAAAAAATTTGTTTATATAATACTTCAAATATAATGTATGTTGCTAAAATATTTTTAGAAAAACATTTTTTTTTAATATTAGACAACTACGCCAAAGCAATTTGATATATAGTAATATTTATTGTATATAGTATATATAGTAATTTTTATTGTATTAGTTCGTGTTTCTCAATTGAACCGTCAAAAGGCATATTGGGGGAAGAAGAAATGATGCAACTCACTGCTAATTTTTTATCTAAAAAATCTGGCGATTTTGAAGCAAATGTTTTACTTAATTATGAATCAGGTATTAAATAAAACTAACTTTATTGTTATGTATTACATCCGGGAATAGTCGTTTGGAGTATTTTTACATCCCAGCGGAGAAAAATGTTAATTATAAAATGTTGTGTATATAACAAGGACTCGGACCGAACTGAAATTGAAACCGAAAACCGCTTCGGAACCCTTTTGTTTAGTGAACCGAAACCGTACCCAAATTTTGCAAAGTTTATAATATCAAAACCGCAACCAAACTGGTAAATTTTGTGGTCTTTTCGGTTCTTTTTTTAGTTCTTAATTTTTATTTTTATCCTTGTTCTTAATCTTCGTTCTGCTTGTTCCTTCGTCCAAATCACCAATGTTTAATTTAGTATTACCATCGCTAGCTCTCTTAACAACCAGAATGTAAATACCTCCAACATCTCATAAGTAAGAAATCTGGTGGGATTGCGAGACATATTTAATATAAACTTTTTGAAAATTGTTAAGATAGTAGCATTTCTTTTATTTAGATCTTTCTCATCAACATGTTGCAAAAATTTATTCTAAATTATGAAATTCAAGAATACATATGTAATAAGACTTTATGTAATAAGTGAGATCTATCCATAAGAATCAAATAAGTTATAAGAAAGGACTGAAAGAAATATGCTTAAAATAATGTTTACATAATTTTTATTCAGAGTCACGTGATCAGTTGACGCCTCTCTTCGACTAGGCACTCTAGATTGAACGGATGAACACGCTCTCTCTTTCTCTCTCTTTCTCCTCCTTCCTCTTTTTTCTTAATAGAATCAATTTAAAGAATAAATAAAATAAAGTAAGTAGAAAAAAAAACCGTTAAAAAATCATAATTTTTACGGTTTCGGTTTTCTTTACTGATAAAAAAAAACCGAAACTGAAACTGAAACATTTATTTGATATTTTATTAAACTGGAACCGAATCCGAAAAAACCTTTCGGTCTGGATTCCTGATATATAGATACTTTAACAAATTTTTTCTTTTTTAACTGTTCTTTACACACCTTTAAATATGTTCTATCAAAAACCTGCAATAAAAGAGCATTATATTTATATCATTATAAAATATTTATTTTTTTAGAAATACTGTTACGAAAACATATTTATTCCATAATATTTGTTTGGTTTCTACTTACTTTTTTTAGAAAATTGTGATTATTATAAATCCATTATATTTATATTGTTCTCAAATATTAATAAATTGAAAAACAATCATTATATATGTATAATATGTTAATAATAATAATTGTTAATAATAATAATTTTAATTAGGGTGTAAAAGCATCCTATAAAATTCTCCTCTCTCTCTCTCTCTCTCTCTCTTTCTCTCTCTCTCTCTCTCTCTCTCTCTCTTTCTCTTTCTCTCTCTCTCTCTCTTCTCTATTTCTTTATTAATACAACAGTTAACTTTGCAACATAAATTTATATAATTAACAATAAATATGTGTACATAATAAATTCAAAATATATAAATTATAGGAGAAAAGCTCTGTTTGATGTTACGGAGTTCAGCAATAAATTGCACGATTCGAATTGACAGACATAGTGTCAGAATGGAAGACACTTATTTAGGCTTATCTAGAAGTAAAGTTCTAACGATACACAATAGAAGCGACTACGTCGTGAAATTCCAATGGATGCGCTTTAAAGACAATGATACCGATGTACAACGCAAAGAAGAGTATGCAAAAACAATTATTTCTCAAGTTAAAAATTTTTATTTTTATTTAGTTTTAGTGATTTCTCTTTTTGTGGCAGGTATAAAAAAATATTTCAACTGGTGCATAGAGTCGAAGTAGTACGTCGTGTCAATCTTGTTCATTACAATATTTGCCTGCCAGATATTCACGAGCTTGTCTGCCAACGGATTTATACAGACGAGATTGCTTCGTTGACGAATGAAGATTTTCGCTACAATCATACATCCTTCCTTCTTATACCTGAGGTGATCTTTTCTTAACTTACGAGAGAACCTCACAAAGTGTTAAATTTTGATTTTAATGAAACTTCGTGTACTTATAGCTTACATAAAAAGATGAATTTAGAAAAATATCAGTTGCGGCCATAAAATGGTTTGAAGAGGTGAAATTACCTCTTTTGTGTTAAGCGCGAAATTCAGCTTTTTCCGTTATATCTTGAAAACTATTCGAGATATCAAAAACTGTTTTATACAAAAGTTTTATCACAAAATGATCTCTATTCATTTGCATCAATAATATTTTTAATAAACAGTTTTTTTCAAATTAAAAAAATCTTTTTTATTTTTCAAAAATATTATTGATGTGGATGAATAAAGGTAATTTTATTGTAAAATTTTTGTATAAAACTTGTATAATTTTTTGATATCTTGAATAGTTGTCGAAATGTATTTTACCCCTTCAAACCTCAACTTCATTCATTTCTTTATAAAAGCTACGAGTATACAAAATTTTATTAAAATCAGAATTTAACACTTCGCGAGATTCCCTTAGCAGCTTTTGCAGCTTTTAATAATAACACATTTTAATTATAGTTTGCTTAATCTTATTGGTTTTAATTTATTTGTTGCTCTTATTATACCATTATTGAAAATGCATATCAGAAATATCATTCTAAAATTATATATATATATATATATATATATATGCTTTCAGGAAGGCGAAATTTGGCCACAATCTTCCGCAGATATCACGGTGATTTTTCGAGCCATGGAAGTAGGCGAGATATCGAGCGTCGCTTATCTTGAAGTCATGGGTCGTGAAGATAGAATACCCCTGAGGTTACAAGAAAACTAGTATAATGTTATCTTTAGAAACTTCCTTTTGCCTCGGAATTTTCTAGCTAATTTTGCGTCCCGTTGGTAGCCTTCACGGAACTGGCAAGGGACCAGTTTTACATCTCAATGTGATCACTATCGATCTTAGCAATATCTTCCTATGCTCCGTGCACAACTATGAGGTAACCCAGTAAATTTATCTGCATATACAAATTTTATAAAAATTTATAGAAAACTCTTATGTCGCAGTTTCACTCAATTTTTACGACGTCTTTTTGTATATATCATATATTTCATTTTTTCCATCTTTCTAAAACATATAATAATTAATTGTATAGATTGTAGCAGCAAATCATGGCCACATTTGTGGTACGTTGATTTATAAAGAAAGACCGACAGATTTTGGTGGCACTATTAGTATTACTCCAAATGCTCGAATGTTAAAACCGGACGAATATAAATCATTTAATTTATCATTTTCTTCAAATCGAAAAGGAGATTTTGTAGAGCGAATCGACTTCGTTATTAAAGAGAGTTTAGAAGTATTATCCTTACATATCAAGTAATTATTAATAAAATTTGAACAATCGCCATTACAAATAAAAAATTATAATTTTTTAAATTATTGTAGATTTTTGTAATCAAATATTAGATTTATTCATAAAAAAGTATTAATTTTATTCTTATTATTGGAAAGATCTTAAACACCATTTTTTTAAATTTACATATTTATTATTTCTCTGCGTCTAATATTTTTTCTAATTAATATTACTTAGCACAATATTATAACATGTTATCAAATTTATTTGTAGGGGATGTGTGATATGTCCAACGTTACATTTCGATAAGCATACTCTTGATTTTGACGAAACTGCTTTAGGTATATTGATTAGAATAATGAATGCAATTAAAAAACCGCAATTTTATATATGTATTTGCAGGATTTATCAAAAAACAGGAAATAAGTCTTCATAATTTATCTTTGGTACCCGTCACGTTCGGTGTAACTATAATGGAGGATGGTGATCAGATACCTTTGACTTACGAAGAGTTCGCTACATCTAAAGTGAAACCAAGTTTCCCGACTAATCCTCGCGAGTTTACGGTTATTCCACAGAAAGGGGTAGTGCAGGCACATAGTTCGCTTAAATTAAAGGTAAACTAAATGATGCCTTTATTTACAGGTTGTAATTGTTTGCAAGCAAAATACTAATTTGTATCTTCTAATACGAATATCATGTATAATATAAAACCAGTTTTTAATCTCTATATAATTACTTAAAAATTGTTTTTTAATTATTAAATAACTTAAAAATTTTTAACAACTTTAAAAAGTGAAATAATATCTTTATAATAAATGAATACTTGATATCTTTTTATTAAAAAATACAGGTATCTTATATAGCGAACGTGGTGCGAACTGGACGGACGAATATGCGAGTCGACATGTGCGATTCAGATTCGAATCCCATAATACTACCGCTCTCATTTTGTGGCGCTATTCCTTCTCTATCGATCAAGCCCACAGAAATCAACATTCGATTTTCTTTCATCAACTTTCCGTATTCTCGTTCCATCAATGTAGAAAATGACTCTAATTTAGATGGATATTTTTATATAGTACCGCAGACGGTAATTGTTAAATTAATTTTGAAAGATAAATTTATGCTTATCGTTTCGTAAATATAATTCAGAAATATGTTTAATATTTAAAATATATTTAATATTTAAAATAACACCTACAGTTATTCTAAGCTAACTGCATTAATATCGTTTTCCAGATATCCAAGAATACGCTTATTGTATATTCATTATCATCCTGTCAAGGTTTTCTAAAAGCACGACAATCGAAGACAATTGATATCACGATTATTACAAAAAAATTAGGCAGGCAGACGACAACATTAAAGTATAATAATTAGCTTAATAATCTTTTTAAAAAGTTAGAATAATTTAATTATATGTGATTCAAGAAAAAAAAATTCTGAAATTTTTTAAATTGGATATTTATAGAAATTCTCTGTGGAAATTTTGGATATTATTTTATGTAAAATATAATTTCTTATAAAAAACTTTTATTGTTTTAATTTTTCGTTGTCAGTATGTTAACAATGGGTGAACAGGCTCCAGTTACGTCTTGTGTGATTATTTGTAATGGCCAAGGACCAGTAATATCTGTGCAACCTATTTGTCTCAATTTCGGAGAGATACAAGTACTTCAAGATAAAGTTATGAGTTTTAACATAATTAACGACTCACCAATACCAGCGCAGTTTAAATTAACATCAGTAAGTACTTTTCAAATAAGTGAATAATAAATTTATAGAATGCATAAAGTATATAAAACATATTATGGAAATTATTTTATATTTTTTAGCCTAAGAAAAAGTCATCATGGCTCATTGAACCAATTTTTGGTGAAGTTAGACCGAATGATTCTGAGGAGATTAAAGTCAAACTATTTTTGCGCGATACTGGTAAATACATTGATAATATAATCGTCCATGTCATCAACAGTCGATCATTTTCCATTAATGTAATTGCGACTGGAATTGGTTGTAGCATCGTTTTTGAGCCGCAGATATTTCCAATATTCGATATGGGTTTTCTCTTTAGGTAAATCAAAATATTGAAAGAACTTTAACTCATTTGTATAACAAAGATAATAAAAATTATTTTTAAATTATTTATTCATATGATATTTTTAATTTATTTAATTTTAATAGCCATCAAAATTTGAGTCTGCCAATAACTATAAAAAATTTTGGCACGCGTCATTGTTACATAATATTGTCAAACGATCCAGAAGTTCGTATTCAAAAAAGTCAAACCTGGCCAAAGTAATTACATAGTTCCTACTTAAATTTTTATTTTAAGCTTTTTCTACTTTGTAATTAGGATATTAAAAACTTTTTGTTTTGCAACAGGAAGTTTCAAATTGAACCGTCCACCGTAGAAGTTCCAGCTGATGGTTCTAACATAGTTCAGTGCAAAATATGTTGGAATATGTAAGTTTGGGTTAAGCTTTTATGCTTTATAATAATAATCCCCCGCGAATCAGTTGAAAAATCAACATGGATTATATATGGGTATATTTCATATCCCATTTTGGTGCACAGTTTACCTGAGTTACAGTTATCTGAGATAATTAATTTTAAATTAAGAATATATATTATTGTATTCATAACATCTAACTTTGACCGATTATTGGCGTTCTATTATATCTATGTACTCATATCCTGTGCTATACTTTATTATAAATATACTATAATTTAGTATGATTGGTAATAACGCACTCTCCGATTGTACAAAACCAGTAACATGCGCGCAGTATTTTTTAAAAAATTATAGCAATTTATCTTGTTGGGATATCACACTCCATTATATTAATAACCAATATTATATTAATTACAATTGTACAATTTTATCATAATTTGTACCTTGATTTGTACTACTTTAAAATTAACCATTTTCACATGTAATTAAAATATTTAACAATATTTTAATTAAACAATAATATTAATATTTTAATTTAACAATAATATATCATGTTATAAAAAAAAAGAATATTTTAAAAGGATTTTTTATGATTTTTTTCTTTTTAATTCAATATTTTTTAATAATATTGTAAAATATTTCTGTGTTTACAATAAAGAAATGAAATCTTGACGGAAGATTGGTATATATTTGAGCAAATTTTTGGACAAGGAAAGCGAAAATTGATAGGAACTTCTACATTTAAAGCCACTTTTACGGAACCACGGATTGCATTCAACAAGAGAGAATTAACGTTTTGCATTGATATATGTCCCGAGGGAGAAAAGTTGCAACAGATAGGTAGAGAAAATTATATTAATATGTTCGAAACTATTTTAGCAATATAAACTATTCGGAAAAGTTGTGCAATATAATATTCTAGAGGGCATTCATGAGGTACTTGGCGTCAAAGTTTATTACATAATAAACAATTAGGATTTTCATATTAAATATTCTTATACAGCAATTTTCTTATACTAAATAAAATAATAATGATGTTCCTAATTTGCTAATTTTTAGATAAACTAATGGTGACAAATCAATCACGAATGAGTTTAAACGTTTTATTGTATATTGACGCTCCCTTTTATTTGATGAACAATAAGAAAAAGTTTGTACATAAAAAGAAAATTGTTTTGATAGACGGAACTACCACGATGATTCCGGTAAAATTTTCACCACATATAAAACTCGATTATCCTTATTCGCGACATTATAACGGCGTGCTCTGGTTTGAATATGAAGAGCATCCTATTAAGGTATTCAAAAATGTTTCTTGTAAAATTAATTAAAGCAATGCAAAAATATTTTCTAATTAATTTTAGAACAAAATTCAATGCAAAGGTGCGGTAAATTTCCCGAATATTACATTACATTGCAAAGATTTGATTATTAATAGTATTTTGGGTTCTACCGCCAAAAAAACATTGAGGATGACTAATAATGGACCAATTCCCGTAATATATAAATTTCTATGGGCCGGAGAGAGTATTGAGATTGAACGTGGAGCACATGATGTTGGAGTTGAGTTGCACCGATATACAAAAAAAAATATTTTATTATTTGTTACAAGTTATTTCCAATAATTTTCAATAATCCTGAATAACTAACAACGTACATTTTTTAACAGAATTCCACAAATCATTTACAATTACAAATTAATGCAGAAAATAATAAATTTAATCCCCGTTCCTACAATATTAAAAAGAAATCAGAGACTATCTTTCAGGAAATTGAAAAAAAAAATAAAATTCTCGAGTTATCAATTTCAACATCATATGGTATGTATTATTAAATATTTCTTATTAAAAATTTTAATGTTAAAATTAACTTATAATATTCCTTTAATACATATTTATTGTAAATTATTATTAATTAAACAATGTTTTATATTATTAATAACGCGATTTAGTTCATTTAGTGATTTCAAGAGCTTATATTTTTCATGCACATATTTTTCATCAGATTTATTATCAGAACTGCAAGAAGCTTCAGATTCAAAGAATTTGCTAATGCAAATTCGATCGGAAACGCTAGATGAAACACTCGAAAAATTAAAAAGTATTTTCATGTCAACGACAAAAACATCCTATTTACGGTGTCTAGATGATCCAGAAATTCTTCCTCATATAGATTCGAATTTCGAGCCACTTATGAAGGAACCACTCGATGATGTTCGTCTTTTTTCCAAATAAAATTCATTTAAATCAAATTAATATTTATTGTATATTGTAAATTCTTTACTATATTTAGAAATTATATTGCTATCTCTGCAGTAAATTAATATTTTAAAACTAATGACAAAGCTAACGATTTATATAGATACTTGACATCATCCCACACGAAGGCGTTCTCGTGCCATTTTCTTCGCAATATGTAAGCTTCATTTTCCATGCCTCCGAGCCTATGCAACTCAAAGTTGTCGCGCTTTGTGATGTTCTTCAGGGACCTACTGAAACAGTTAACGTATTTGCCAGCGCAGATGTCATTCGATATTCTGTTGACAAACAGATCATCGACTTTGGTCAACAAGTGAGTTATTTTTTAATTTCAATAATTACAGTACATATTTTTTAAGTATCTGCACTTTTTTATTTTTTTTTAAATAATAATTATTATATTTTTTATATTTTTTAATAATAGTTTTTATTTTAATAAAAGTTATTTTGCTATGTAATAAATTTAATATTGGAATGTAAGAAAACTAACAATGAAATAAAAAATTAATTTATGTTTGATTAGTTAATTTAATAATTCACTCTATTGTTTCATTTGAAGTTAATTTAACATTCAATCTAGTTTACTAATTTAATATATCGATCTACACCACAGTTATTCGGCGAATTGTGTCGGTCGAGCTTCACTTTGCAAAATCATAGCATGATATGTATGGATTATAAAATAAACAAGAGAAATTTAATATTCGAAACAAGCAATCTCGACTCTACAATCGGCGTATTAACAATTGAACCGAATAAAGGATCTATAGATCCTCTATCGTCATTAAAAATTACGATCGAACTTCAACCCATGCTGCTCGGCGCTTTTGAAATAGAGTTTGAGTTGCAAGTGTGTCACAATACAACATGCTATTTAATTCAACATTATATTTACACGATTATATTTTTGTTATGGACGAATCAGAAAATTATTATTTAATATACAATTATATATAAAATATAATTCAAACTATTATTATATAACATTATAATTATTATTAATACTTAGGTGACTCATGTAGATCCATTAATAATTACCACAAAAGGTGTTACAAGTTACCCACAAATTTATCCCTGCATCTCGCGTGATATTTTTAAACCTGTGAAATTGGGATACCGTGCGATTCAACTGCTAACTCCAAATTTTATCACGATGGTACGAAATTTTATATAAAAATGATAGAAAGATTTAATGCATGTCTTTCTACATTACAGAAAAAACAAGAAATACAAATACAATGTGATGTAGTTGACAATTCAAAGAGTCAAGTGCCTGAATGGGATGAGCGAATCTTATTAAGTAAGACAAAACATAATTGGATTATAATACAATGACAAAATACAATATGCAGTTAATAAATTTATTCAACTAATAAAAAGATCTTAAATAATTTTTAATAATTATTTTTAAGATGACGGCTGGGACTTAATTTCATATGCGGAAATATTTCCCAGTATCATCGACATTGAGATGTCTATTGACAGACTTTTGGCAACTCGACTTATTGAAGAAAATGCTATTTTGATAAAACATCCCATTTCGCATAAAAACGCTATTCCTTTTCTTTATACTCCTAAATATATCATAGGTACATGATTACAAAAAATATCAATTATTTTTAAATTGATTAATTCTATTACCTAAGTTAATTACCGAAAGAATACATAAAAATCAAGAAAAAATCATAATGATGTAAAAATGACTTTATTTTGATGCTTAAAGTCAATAAACAGTCAAATTTTGCAACAAAAAATCATTTTGACTTTTTCTTAACTTGGTTTCTGTACCGTAGGTACGTCTAAATAAACTGAAATTCGATCTGTAAATAAAGTAATTACGAGAGTAAACTAACAGTACTCATAAATAAATTAATAGTGCAAAAAATATTTTTAGACATGGGTTATATTGCGATCGATATCAAAACATGCTATTCAACAACGGTTGTCAATTACGGGCCTTGGAACGCGGAAGTTACAATGAAAAAATTAGAAAAGAAGCAACTTGAAAATTCCGGCATTCTTGTGCAATTTGAAAAGTCAACATTAACCGTTGGGAAAACTACGTGCCTGACTATTACGTGGCAACCGACAACAATTAAATATTGTGAAAGAAGCACGAGAGAACAGCACACAATTTATTTAGAAGTAAACTTAATTTATATTTTAACGTTTTTAAATAAAATTTAATTTAATTTAATCAAAATATTTGTGCATATTTAAAAATCATGATTTTAATGAAAACATTAGTAAGTATATTTTATATATATATATATATATAAGGTATTTTAAATATATTAATGAATTAAACTAAATTACAATTTCTTGGTTAAACAGGTATCCCGTGGTTCAATTATTCCCATAATTATAAAAAGCATCATTACTTATCCATTCATAACTGTTAACACGAAATTATTAAATTTTCAAAATGTCATCGTAGGAGAATGTTTAATGATGAACGTTTTAGTGAAAAACGAGTACATATTTTTATTTAAACACACTTAAATCTTTTATCAATAGGATATATAATTTTTAAATTTTAATTTTCAGAGGTTTTATTAATTGTTATTGGGAAGCAAATATATTAACTCGTAAAAAATATGAAGATTGCCCATTTTATATTAATTATAAATCTAATCTTCTTATGCCTGGTCATTCGGATATCATCAATGTTTATTTCAAACCACGTAAAATGGTACTATTGTATATGTATAACTATACGCATATATATTAATGAAATTAAATGACTATGACATTGCTAATCATTTAGTGTCGCATGGAAGCAAATTTAAAAATCATTGTTAAAATGGGTTTGGAAACACAAGTGGTAACATTGCTTGGTCATGGAATCGAGTATAAATTGCGAATAAGCGATCTTGACATTAGTTTCCCACCTACAGTGATTTTTACCGAAGTATTGGAGAAAACGTTCACGATCGAAAATAAGTGCAATTATCCTGTAGAATTTTTCTGGCATCATCTGGACAGGTAATTAATAAAAATAAATTCGGCAGATTAGAAGCAAGAGCAAAATGAGAAGATAACGAGAAAACGTTTTTTATGTTTTTATAAAAATTCTTAAAAAACGGCTTTTCATTTCGTGAAAACAAAAGTGATAGGTGAAATGACATGGAATGACTTTATTGAATAAATGCGTTACAGTCTTTTTCTAGAAGAAGAACGAATCGCCGAGGCACTGACTCGTTACTACGGAGTTAAAGAAATCCTATTACCGCCTCGAAAACTCGGAGAGAGAATGCCGTCGTCTTTAATGGAATTCTATAATAGTCTCAAGAGTGAGATGGCGTACGCTTTGTCGGCGGAAGCAATCGAGAAAAAAAGTGCCACTGTGCTCAATGGTACATATATTAAGAATACTTGAAAATAAGCTTCTTTTTCCGTATTATAATCTTTAATTGTCATATTATATATACAAAAAAAATTCTACAAAATAATACTTTGCTTTAGCTAGCGATAATTGCAAATATGATTTTACATTAACGCAAACGTTTATAATGCAATATGTAATTAATATTTGAATAGATGACAAACTTTTGAATGTGGAGCGTAAGAATAGAATAAGAGCAAGAAAGAAGTCATCTAGTACATCAAGATTATTTGTCCAACAATTCTCGAATCAACAAAGCTCGAAAACAAATTTGCAAAAAGATTTTAACATTGACAGACGGAAACAAAAAAAGTCAATTGGTTATTCATCCACTTCTACGGACACCGCAAAAAGAGATTGCCCGCCCATGTCAATCTTTAGTGAGCTCGATTTCCCTCGCGAGGCTCCAATATTATCAACAAATGATCCCAAAGAACTTCATAATTTACTTCTCTGTGAGCAACTTTATCTCGATAACAAAAATTTTTACTGTGCAACTTTTATTGCATTGTCGTCATACGTTTTAATAAAAGCATGACTTTTTATATCTATTTTTATTTTCAAGGTTATATAGAGATTCTGCGTAAAGATCCTAGTTTCTGCAAAAGAATAAAAGATCCTGTAAAGGAGCTGTTTGATAGTTATGAAAAATCAATTCTTGAGCTCGATTCTTCGCAACCGGCTAAGAAAGTTTGCATTCTCTTTCATGGCGCACCATTTACTGGTAATTTCGCATTAAAAAAAAATGAACAAAATGTGTGTTTACTGAATTGTATTACTTTAGACTATCAGGAAACCGCGTGCAGGAGCGCTAAGGCATTGCAAGTGCCGCTATTATGCATAGATAATGTAATTATCGAAGGCATTGCACTTGGCGACAGTTGGGTTTCCATCAAGTTGCGACAAATTATCGACGACGCTTATCAAGAATATTTGTCATCATTCGAAAGATATAAGTAATTACAAAATTAAGAAACATTGGGCGATATATATTCATAGTCCGTTATTATTTCAAGAATAAGTAATGTCTTAAGATTATAATACGGGTCTCTGATTGGTTCATAAAGACGATCTTAAATAAAATCTGACTATGAATACTCCATAAATTTTTAAATAATCATAGATTTTATAGGTGCGCAATTTAATTGTCGGCGTTTTTCACTGAATTTTGATATTAATTTATAAAAAGTTGAATAGTTACCTAATCTTCGAAGTAATCTCCCTCGCTTTCTACACATTTGCGCCATCTTTTGGGGAGCTGTCGAATTCCACTTCGAAAAAAAAATCATTGTTGACTTTCTTTGACTGTCCTGGACATTTTTCATCATGAAAGTCGAAATTTCCACTCTTAAATCGCTAGAATCACTTCTTACAGGTACTGTAGGAAACAACATGTTCCACCAAAGCCGAACAGATCATTTTCTATGGTTCACTTTTCCATTGAAAAGCAAAAAGGACGCAATGCCTCAAATGTATCGCCTTGAACGACTTTGCTTTTATCTTTTTTTTTTTTTTTTTAAGTTAGATTAGTACAACCGTCAACAATTACAGTCCATTTAAAAGCTATATTATTCTTAAAAATGGCGCTTCAATATGACTATACGGGAAAGATATATAAATTTAAATAGATAATCTCATTAATTAAAGTTAGGGGCTGAGAATTAAGTTGCGCACCATAAATAAATGCATATTATAAATAAATATTTTATAAAACTTTTATTTAAAATAAGAGATTTTGATTCTTTTATTTAAAAATAAAAACATATATATATAAGATTTCAAATTTATTTTTAATCTCAGAGATGATTTGGAAATTAAACTACGGGCAGCAAAGAAAACCGATGTCGAAATCGCGGAAAATGATCATGAAACAATAGCAAAAAAGGAAGAAATAAAACCAAAACAAACTACCGAATCACCAAAAACAACTAAATCTGATTCAAAAACAATAGCAGTCGATGAAAACTCAGAGAGTGATACTTCACTTCAAAAATTAATAATTCTTTTTGAGACAGAATTTGCAAAGCTTCCAAGAGAACAGGATTTGAAGTTTTTAGACCCTATAAGTCTTTACGAATATAAAATCCAAACAATTTTGCTATTGCAAAAAATGTTTCCACATTACGCGACAATTGAATCAAAAGTTAATGAAAAAGATCAGAATGACACTTTCCTCGGAATTGAAATTGATTTATTGATCGAAGTTCTTAAAGAAAGGTGGTATTTAACACGTACATTTTTAAATAAATTAGGATTATTAGAAGATTTTTTTCGCAATTTTTTTTATAGTTTTCATTAAGTTATTTTTTATTTAAGTAAGTACATAAACTTTCTTAATAAATTAATTAAATTAATTTGATTAATTACGAGTGTATATATGCTGAGAGAAAGAGCTATCTTAATGAATATAAAAAAGTTTTAGTTCTATAATTTATATTTTTTATTATAATACTTTGTATGTTTTAAGTTTTTTCTTTCTTTTTTTCCTCCTAATTTTTTTTTAAACTTCTACTCTTTTATACTTATATTTTTAGACCCGGTTGCACCAATATTACTCTAATTTTAAGCGAGGTTTAAAATTCTCTTTGTCCCTATCTCTTTTCGGTTTTAAAACAAGATAGAGAGAGTTTTAAATTTTGCTTAAAACCAAAGTAACGTTGGTGCAACCGGGCCTTATTGTTAGTCATACTCATTTCCTATACCAGGGAAAATAGTTTAAATAGAAAATGGTAAATATTTTCAGTACAGGGAAAAAATTGAAATAAATTCAATAGAAATATTTATTTAGAGGATGCAGCTATAAAAACACTTTTTGAAACAAGTATTTTGGATAGCAAATATAAAAAAGACAGAGTAGTTATTATTTACATTAATATTTACTTGTAATAAGATACTTATCTAACACATTTCGATATATTTCATGGTTAAACAAAATACTTCCATTTTCGACTTTCCATTTCTTAACAATAAAAAATAGAAAATAGTAAAAGTAATGGATGTCAAGCAAAGTTACTCTGTATATCTATGAAGCACATGTTGTTTTATTTTACTTTTACTATTTTACTTTTACTATTTTCCGTAATAAAAGAAACCTACCATGCTATTTTCTATTTTGAACTATTAAGAAATAGAAAATAGAAAATAGAAAATAGAAAATAGAAGTATTTTGTTTAATTATGAAATATCAAAATGTCAAATAAATATTCTATTTCAGTAAGTAAATTTTAATAATATATAATGTTAATAATAGTAAATACTATTTATTTTTTTCATATTTACTACACAAAATACTTATTTGAAATAGTATTTTTTATAAATTTGTCCTTTAATTTAAATAAATTAATTAATTAATTTAAATAAATAT